GTCTCCTGTTTTTCTTTCCTTCCCTCCTCTATCGCCTGTTTAAATTTTTTTTCTGTCTGTTTCTCCTTTTTCTTTCCTTCTCTCTCAACTCTCTCCATCTCCTGTTTCCCTCCTTTCTTTCCTTCTCTCTCCCTCAGTCTCATTTTTTCCCTTCTCTGTCTCCAGTTCCTTTTCTCTCTCCTTTTTTTCTCAGTTTCTGGTTTCTTTTTCCCCCCTTTCTTTCCCGCCTTCCTATTTCTCTCAGTCTGTTTCTCCCATTTTTTTTCCTTTTCTCCTGTTTCCCTTTCCCTCTTTACTCAGTTTCTCTTCTCATGTTTCTCTTTTTTTTCCCTCCTCTGTGTCCTGTTTCTCTCATTTTATTTTTCTCTTCCTCCTGTTTCCCTTCTCCTGTTTCTCTTTTCCTCTTTGCTTCTTTTCCTTCCCTCCTTCCTGTTTCTCTCATTCTTTATCTCTCTGTTGCCTGTTTCCCTCCCTCCTTTCTGTCTCCTGTTCCCCTCCTTTTTGCCTCCTTCCTTTTATTCCTCTCTTTCCTTCTTTTATTCTCGTTCTTCCTTCTCGCATACATACATAAAAAAAAGTCAAAATAAAAAACATAGAATTGTAAAAAATTAAATAAAAATCTGACATTAGTGGCAGAACTACCAGGGTCGCAAAGGTCACTCTTGTGACTGAGCTGTGGCATTTTGGATAGGGTGGTCCGCAATATTGGGGCCCTTTCTCTACTGATTTCAGCTACCAAAAAAGGGGGGAAATGTCATTGCATCTTATGGCAATAATATGGAGCGGCCAGTCTGGTATTTCCGCCGCTGTACAGTCTTCCCGTGCCGGAATCTTTAGTGTGGGCACCTGGCTGTGACAGCCAGGCGCCCACTGTGCATGCGTGAGAAGCGCTGCGCTTTGTGAATGGCCTGGCGTCTTCTGGGACACATGACAGGTCCCAGAAGACGCCGGGCAATTTTCCGAAGCGCAGCGATTCTCGGGCATGCGGCTGACAGCCAGTGCCCACACTAAAGGGAGGACATCTCCGCGGAAGTGGGGACGGGTACTTGTCAAATTCAGGTACCCGCTCCCCCTCACTCCCCAAAAGGTCCACAGTCTCTTGGTCATCCCCCGTACTACAGTATGTCTGCAGTCCATTGGTTCAGAATATTTTTTCTTCTTGTTTTTCACCTCTAAAACCTAGGTACGTCTTATGGAGCGGAAAAAAAAAAAAAAATACGGTATCTACTAATTTATCTCCAACTACATCTCTCCCGAATCTTGCTCTTCCTTTTCTCAATAACCCCAAATACCCAGATAAAAGGGATTGCCACATTTTACTCCTACTTAACTTAAAATTCAGTATACAAAAAGCCCTAAAAAATTGGGAAAATATTTTATCCAACACCTTTACTGACCAAACATGGCAAAAAACACCTTTTCCCTCACCTACAAATCTTCACACTGTAGTACACATTGGGAATCGTAACTATAAATCTTACACCAATGGTATCCAACTCCTGTCAGATTATCAAAAATATATCCTACTCATTCACCACTATGTTGGCGACAGTGTGGTGACCTAGGAGCCATATTCCATGCATTATGGTCTTGTAAATCTCTCAGATCCTATTGGACTAGTGTTTTTAACCTAATCTCTGAACTAGCTGGGAAAATAATTTGCCCCAATCCCACATTAGCACTCCTACATATTGGAGTTGAAAAATTTCCTCCTGACTCACGTACCATAATAATCCACATTATTTGCAGCCAAAAACAACATCACCAAAGTATGGAATTCTCTTACCTCACCATCTGACTATGATGATTAATGATCTGAACTTCCAATGTGAAATGGAAAAAAAGATTGGCCTTCAACCTTTCCTAACCCAAATATTTCTGGTCCCTATGGTCACGCAATCCAAAATGTACAATTCTGATAGCCCATAACTACAGAGTATATATATATCATTAACTTTCTAACTGGTATAAAAAGTTTACTCTATTTACTGTTCAAATTTGTTTTTGCTTCTATTTCCCATCCCGCTCCTACTGTCCTTTTTTTCCCCTCCCAATCTCCCCCTCAGGTTCCTTGTTATATTACATTTCAAGTGTAATGGCTGACAAAACATATGTAACCTACCAGATCCTACTGCTTAATGTGGTGGAACACAAAAAAAAAAAAAAAAAAAACACTATATTGCTTATATTGTATTGCTATGAACCTGTTCTTACATTTTTCAATATGGTATTAAACAGGGTATTTAAACAAAAAATGAAAGACAGCAGCCATGTAATCACACTCACTATTGCTCTCCTGCACCCTGGAGAACAGGGTTTTTTTTTTTTTATCCAGTCTGATATTTAACTGCTGAGTGAATTGTTGCCAGATCTGTTTTTTTGTATGAACTATTCTGATCTATTGTGATGCCTAAACAGTCTTATAATTTCGGGTGCTGTTTCACCTCTCTGCTACACTGATACATTGTCAGTCTTCATGACCCCTGCCCACACTGACCCTTCTGTGTACCGAAACTTGCTGATGGGGTCTTTTGCTGACAAAGTTTTGCCAATGACAATAAGGCTCAGTGCATCTGCTCCTACCTGGCACTATTGCTGGCTGGTTGATGCTTTTGCCCGCACACAGAAGTAAATGTTACCACACGGCTGCTCTGTACAAATAGGAAGTGACTGGAGCTGCTCTGTCCTAAGTAATCCACTTCCCAGCGCATTCTGGGATACTTCGGCCTTCACAGTCTCTCCCCAAATGCCCAGCTAACACTTCATAAATGCTTTACCAACACATCATAAATGTTCTAGGTGCTGTTAAGGTGTGGTTGTAGAGCAGGGGTGCTCAACCCTGCCCACAGAGCCCTCTGATGTGGCTCCCAACCTAAAGCCAGGTAAGTGCATGCCCAGGGTTGTCAACCCGTTGATCTTGATCTGGGCTTGACAACCCACCATCCCAGACCATCACATGGACAGCAGGGGTGACAGAGGCAGCATATTCAGGAACTGATCCTCTCTATTCTCCTCCTGCAACCACTGAAATCTGGCTGCTCCTCCTTTCCCTCCCACCCGCATTTAGCGGCTGTAAGAGGAAAAATGTTCATTGTGGTATTAAAAAAAAAAAAAAAAAAAGGGAAATTCTTGACCATTTCATTTCATTGTGGGCTGCGACTGGTAACCAAATCACTTAAGGGGCCCTCGCTCTTCAAAGGGCTGAGCACCCCTGTTATAGAGTATCATGATTGAAATCAATAAACAATTGACAAGCATGGATGCCCCATGAAAGCAACCTAATGCTTAATTTATAACACAAGACACAACGCTACTGATCTTGTGTGAACACTACTGTGTGGTACCACTGTAATATTCATGGCAGGCATTGAAGGGTTTTTATGAGGCTTTAGAAATAATGAATAAATGCTGCATATACACATGGTATTGACATACGTGTGCACGAGCCCTAAGACAGGAAGTTAATATTCCTACCTCTCCAGTAGTCAGCATTCTGCCCATTGTTTATTTATAGCTCCTCCATGTATAAAACTGCATATAGCTTACACATTGCCTGGTTTGCTGTATTTTCTGTACTATTTGCCTTTACCATTGTTTTATTTTTTTTCATGTTCACCTGCTCACCTTTCAAGGCTTCAGTCAACATTAGGTTGTAATTTACCTGCCTAAATTATTTGTATTAAAAACTGCATTTGTGGTTCTAAATTTCTTATTGAAAGTATTTGACTGGTCACCATTTAAGCAGGAGTCTCATAGGGTTTTCTAACAAAATAGATTACATTTTTTCTTTAAATTAGATACATTAATTTTTTCTTCACTTTGCATTTTACTGTAGCCCAACTGCAAATCAAATGTGCAAGTTGTTGCAACTCACCAATCCATAGATGTGGTAGCTACATTAGTTTTCACTTTTCAGGTGCTTTTTTTTGCTGTATTTTCACTTGAGCATCCTGCCAGTAACACTTCCTGTCCTAAGCAGACAAAGCTCACTCACCATACTGTATCTGTGCATCAGCGGTGTTCTGTTCCTAGGACATGTGGTGTAAGGAAAAAAAAAAAAACAGAAAAACTCCTCGTTTGTCACCTTACTAGATTTCTGGCAAGATCAACAGGTAGTTTTGGCACTTATACCATTAAAAAAGAAATATACCATTAAAAAAGGTTAACAGACCAAAACAGAGCAAAGAGAAGTTAGATACACTTCAAATGTAACTAGGCACATAGCTGTTTATATAAAATGTTGCTAATCACTAATAGATTACATGGAGGTTTTTGCATATACATTTTGTAATGTTCATTCATGTTCTAGAATACAAAGAGCATATGGAAACCATGGATTCTCTGGTTTCTGCTTATCATACTAATGAGTGCTGGAAACAAAATGTATGTTGTTGGATAACTGCTTCTATATTTACCACGTCTGTCATAAACTAGCAATTCTATAAGCAGTTGGGCACAGACATTTTTACGGCTCATTATGAGAACGCCAACATGTAGGGTATAAAGAGGATTTTGATTATTTAAAATTATACATTTGAAGCATAATAATGGTAGACACAAAAGGCTTGTTTCAGATGTTTATTTAGATACACAATAGCATTATCTTTCCTCTTCAATTTAATTTAACTGTTGTTGCTGTGACAGGCAAAGTCCTTTTTAGTCTCAGAAAAAGTAATTTTCCTTTTTAAACACAAAATAATTAAAATTTAAAAAATATTTCTAATCCTATGTCTGGAAATATTCTCCCAACAGTATGCATACAAAGCATACAAAGATTAAAATATTTATACAAAAAAATACTTTCTGGTCTTATTTACACAAACAAAAAGCCTGTCACAGACGGGCACTTGCAACTGGCACATGAATTTGAAGTAAATATTTTCAGCATGTATGAATTCCATGCACAAAAAAACTTAAAAAAAAATATATACTAAGAACGCACACAACACTTGAAGAAACTAAAATATGACAAGTTGACAGATTGTCCCCAGCAATGTCATTCAAGCCTGTTTTTCAAATGCGAATAATAAATATATACCTGGGGAAAAAAAAAAAAAATGTATCACAAAACAATTCAAATTTTAAAGACAGTAAACAAATGTGTGTATTAACCACATCAAGTCTGGACACTTTCACCCCCTTCCAGTCCAGGCCAATATCCAGCACCATCACACTGACAATTGCTCAGAGCAGACAGACCTGCCATCCATTTGCTCGACAGGGATAAGCAGCAAGATCCCATACTGAACAAACTCATCCACTGGCAGGTCCGCCCCATCTGAAAGGGACCAAACTCTGATCACTCTCACACTAGTGCTCTCACCTAATGTTAATGACCTATAAATCTCATAAGGGTAAAAGCTTGCTGTGACCCTTTTAAAATAACTAGTACCGTCCAATCTTCTATGCCTCCTCTCCTCCCAGGTATTAACTAAGAGTAAAATAAAACAAACACTCTCATGGCATCATGGTTTCATAAAATAAACATTTAAAAAAAATATATATATATATATTGTTTTGCACAGGACGACGATATATGTTTAGGAGTTGGGAGGGAGAGAAAAAAAAAAAAAAAAAAACCTTGTCCAAGGGACTAAAATCGGAGTCCCAAACTACTTGACCCTCATGACAATGTACTTGTTCTGAATAAAAGAACAGATTTTTACACCTCCCTACCCATCTCTAGTACCGCACTGAGTGATTACCAAGGAGGGGAAAAAAACTTCTCAGTGTGATAAGCACCGACTGAGTACTCATCAGAAAAGGGGACTGTCCTGCTGAGCATTGATAGCCTAAGCGCATCTGCTGTCCCTATTCCACACACTGACACCTTACGTTCCGCCCTCATGCTGTCATGCACAGCATACTCCATTACTAGCAGCACTTCAGTCTAAAAAAGAGAAAAGATCCTCCTGCGCTCTTATGTAAACGAATAAAAAAAAAAAATATATATATATATATATATATATATATATATATATATATATATAATATATATATATATATATATATATAGATGATTAGAAAGCAGCTAACATCCCATCCTATACCATAAGGTCTAAATCACATATACATATAATGATGCAGCGCTAATATAAAAACAATCATGGGTGATAAAGTGTATAAAAACAAATACAAATATAAAAAAGGTCTAAACCAGACCTATCAGTGATCACACAGCAAGTGACCCCAATCCACATGGGGATATAGTAAACTGTGATCCTCAGAGTAACCACCCTATTAATCAGATGGTGCCAACAGGTAATCACTAATCACCATTCCACTGGACCGGTCTGCAGGCAGCTTAGCACTCTCATAGATGTCATAAATCATATGCCCATAGAACAGAGAGAACAAAATCTCCATAGTGTATTACTGTTTAATGACATTTAAAGAAAATAAGCCAGAAGTGCACTCACATAAATGTAGCTTGCATGAAGTGGAGCCCAGCATATATCAAGGTAGAATCCAATATGCAAGGTGTACTGCATGAAGAAAAAGTGCTGATAGTGTACAAAGATGGCGCCATGCCAGAAGTGCGTCACACGTAAGTGCCGTTGATGCGTTGTGCACGTGACCTCGTGACTTCATCAGGACATCGTGATTGGTTGACCACACTTCCTTATAAAGGCCGGGAGCCGCACCAATCAGGAGTATTGGGCGGTGCTCCAGCGGCCATTTTCCTATAGCCCATTGACTGAGGACATTGTGTGAATAATACTAGAACAAGGAGTCGCACTGGTAAAAAGCTATTTAAGCGGCGCTCCTGCACCACATGCAAAAAAAAGACAATAGAAAAGCTATGTCCATACCCATAATAGCCATCTATATGGATATATAAAGTGGAACATATATTTCTGGCACACATAGCCCTAAACACAAATAATAAAAACAAAACTGATTAACTCCTTTATTAAATAAGAAAAAACATTCTGATATATAGGCACATAGCCATAAAAAATAGAATAAAAAACTGAGTGAACACTAGGGCACTATAAAAACCCATGATATAAGATCACCTCCCATGATAATGTAATAAAAGAGAGAGATCATATAAAACATAAAAATATAAATAAATATTCGAGCAATTAAAAAAAGGGAAATAAAATAAAAAAAGGAAATACAAGATTAGGAATTTAAAAAAAAAATAAAATAAAATATGCTAAAATAAAAAAGGAAATACAAGATTAGGAATATAAATAAAAAAAATAAAATAGGCTAAAAAATACATCTCTATCTCTATCTACATACACACATATATACACATACACACACTTTAATAAAAAAACCTTTTTATGCATGCGTAAACACTCACCATATTACACACTAGTAGTATAAACAAATAAATCATTAACGATCACTAATAAAACAATTTCAAGTTTAACTCAATGTTGAGCCCCATAGGTGTATGCGTATCCATCAAAAAAAACAATTTAGACTCAGTGGAGAGGGAGCCACAAAGTGAGATCTTAGTCTGTTTCTGAAATCTTACCGCACCCCAGAATTTCAAGCTAGAGGGATCTTTATTGTGATAGTGTAAGAAGTGTCTATAAACACTATGTTTTGGAAAGCCTTTTATATTACGGACGTTTCTTCAGCCTAACCCACAGGGGTTGTTTAGTCCTACCTACATACTGCAGGCCACAACTACACTCAAGTACATAGACAACCCCCTCCGTTCTACATGATATAAAGTCTTTAATCTTAAAGACTCTTTCATTACTTGTGGCTGTAAACGAACATCTTTTCAAATTCTGTCTTTTGGTCGCCTTGCATACGTAACAGGTCCTGCAAGGGAAGAATCCCTTCTGATCAAAAAAAAGGTTTAAATTTATTAGTAGGAGGGTCCAGCACATTGTGAACAAGCTTAGATCTTAAAGTAGGGGCCTTCCTATAAACAAATCTTGGAGCCCAAAGGTAACAATTTTGAGAGGATGGGATCCACCATAAGGATAGGCCAATGTTTCCTGAACACTTTTTCAATTTGTTTATAGTTACTAGTAAAATCCAAACAAATAGCCATTTGATTAGCAAAATTCTCTTTTTTAGGTCTATCCATAAGAAAGTTGTTTCTACCTATCTGTATTACCCACTTCCTTAATCTTATCCTTAATAGTTTCTCTCGAATATCCTTTTACAATAAATCTTTCTTCCATAGTCTGAGCCTGTTCGCAAAATTCTTTTACAGCACTGCAATTTCTCCTAAGTCTTATCAATTGACCCTTTGAGGACATTGTATGAATAATACTATTGAACATACCAGTCAATGGGCTATAGGAAAATGGCCGCTGGAGCGCCGCCCAATAATCCTGATTTGTGCGGCTCCTGGCCTTTATAAGGAAGTGCGGTCAACCAATCACGATGTCCTGATGAAGTCACGAGGTCACGTGACGCAACACGTCGACAGCACTTACGTGTGACGCACTTCCGGTGTGGCTCCATCTTTGTAAACCTATCAGCGCTTTTTCTTCATGCAGTACACCTTGCATATTGGATTCTACCTTGATACAAACTGTATAATGTGCTCATTGGATTCTACCTTGATATATGCTGGGCTCCACTTCATGCAAGCTACATTTATGCGAGTGCACTTCTGGCTTATTTTCTTTATATGTCAATAAACAGTAATACACTATGGAGATTTTGTTCTCTCTGTTCTATGGGCATATGATTTATGACATCTATGAGAGTGCTAAGCTGCCTGCAGACCGGTCCAGTGGAATGGTGATTAGTGATTACCTGTTGGCACCATCTGATTAATAGAGTGGTTACTCTGAGGATCCAGAGGAGTTTTTTTTTCCTTTGTGGCCCTGCAGGGTCATAAAGTAGAGGTGAGAGGCCATTGCAGCCATTCCTTTGTGGATCACATTGAGGGTGTTTTTGACATCCACACCGTGCATGAACAGGAAGATCACTACACCAATTTATGGACTTTCTAATCACCCTATATGTGATGTGTGTTTCACATAGTGTGTTGTTTTGATCCCTTAGTAGGGATTCACATCAGTGTTTTGTGACCCCCAAGTACCCTGATGGGACACATATCAATTTACTATATCCCCATGTGGATTGGGGTCACTTTTGCTGTGTGATCACTGATAGGTCTTGTTTAGACCTTTTATATTTTTATTTGTTTTTATACACTTTAATCACCCATGATTACTTCTCATAGTCTCCCCCATCCATACGTTATCCCTTGCGACAACCTGCCCGCCCCCACCTTGACCCTGGAACACCCACTTTGCTGCGTATGACCTATAGCTGATAAATGGCCTTGTTCGGTGCCACAGTTTGTGCATCACAGTGTAATAGGATCTCTGCGACAGCGCCACCATCTTGAGATGCTCACGCAGTTACTAGGGCAAAATGACCCCTTCCCTGAGGGATCCTTGTGCACTGTGGGGGCATGGCCTTGCCTCCACCAGATCCATCCTTCTCACATACAGCCCTGAAAAATAAGCACTGGACTCCTAACAGTTTGTCCTGGGAAACCACAAAGGCACAGCGTGTATTAACTGTCCAGAGGGTGAAACACGGTGACCCTGACAGGAGAAAAAAAAATAAAAAAAATAAAAACCCTGGCCAGCTAAGGAGGTCCTATGGGGACCGGCAACTCTTCCTGATAATCTGTGCTTAGAGAAAACAGACAGCAATAAAAAGGTATCACATAAAAAGACAGCTGCCCTCAGCCGATGGATACCTGATTCCACTGATCCCGTCATCTAAAAAGGGCAAGAAAAATGCAGGGCTGAGCAGGGTAGATCTCTCCCCATTGGCCCATTGCTTTCCGTGTGCTGCCTGGGCCTATATTTTATTTTTTTGTACAATGTCTATATTGTATTCATTACATTTGCAAAAAGTTCCAAAAAACACAGCAAGCAGGAAAAAGGAGATACAAAAAGGGAATTAAAAATAAATTAAAAAAAGCAAGTTTTACAAATGCCAAGAGGAACACAGGAACTATTAGGCAACTGCCACACAGCAATCTGATTGGGTTTTCCTGTGTGTTTTCAAGGTGGACCTGATCGAAACCCTCCATTCTCCTCTATGAAGTTGTGTGTAAAACAAACATGTGACACCCGCCTACATGCAATATGATGCGCTTAAAACAGATGGGGAACCGTTCCCCTCCGTCTGGGTGGATCAGATTGGATGGCATTTGAGTGTAAACATACAAGTGGTCTGTTTACATCCAACCATCCATAGAGAATGGGCTGTGTCCACTCTGCTTATGCAGGACATGTCACTCACCTGTTCCACACTGCTTAGAGGGGGGATCAGTGGACAGATCCCCTGCTAAGCAAGAGGAATGCAGGCAGGCAGTATGAAAGAGGCTTTAAACAAAAAAGGACCACAAAGTTCTGGTGCAGAGGGAGTAGTAGAAGCAGCGACATTGGGCTGTGCAGTATTTGCACTGTGTGCTACTAAGTATAGCTGGAAGTCTTGCTTTGAAGATGGGGCAGCAGGGGCTATAGTCTCTCCTCCATACCAGTCCTGGTAGCATAAGATACATGGCAAAGGAGGAAGAGAGGGTTCCTGCTAATGGGACTGTTTCCCCAGATCCAGCGTCTGTTGCTATGCTAGTGTCTGAGCCCTTTTCCACCCAAACATATATGGGCTTTGGGGCTCCAACTAGTAGTATCACAGCACTGCAGGAGTGCTGCTACTGCCGGTCACAGCATTTGCAGGGTATTGTGGAGAGAGCTTGGACCAGCTCACCTGCCTCCTACCCCTGGCTGCATCCAAACCACTCTGGGAGTTAATCTGATCTCCCAGCGGCTCACATATGCAGCTTTCAGTTAATCCTCCTGAAGCTCCAGCTGGCCTGGGTCAGAGGATCATCCTATGGAGGAGAGGCTAAATCCAGGTGTCCCTAATGTGCTCCACCCTCCAGAGCTCAGGGCGAGTGTGTACTCGCCTCTGCCCACTTTAAAGTCAGCAGGTGTCCGCTCAGGCTAAAATCGTAATAAAAAACTCCTGCCCAACGTCCAGAACTGCATGTCCCAGGCATTGGGCGATAGGAATTGCACATACCTGGTTGTTTCATAGTGGGGGGGGGGGGGGATGAAGGGCAAGGCTCAGGAGCAAGCCCCCTGGTGCACGCCAATAGGAAGTGGCTTCCTACGGTGGCGCACTGCGAAGACGACCCCAGAAGAGGAGGTTCGGGGCTGCTCCATGAAACTGCACAGAACAGGCAAGTATAATATGTCTGCTATTGGAGAAATAAAAAAAATAAGTTTTATAACCACTTTAAGTTTTTGTTCTGAGCCATGGAGCGCGGAGGACCCATTAAATGAAACCATCTATGGCATGTCTAAGTCTATGATAGCAAAATTAGTTACCTGCAGTGAAAAACTACTTTAGATTCAAAGAAAAAAGGCACTTTGGCATTTGGTAAAAGATTTGCACCTAGCTTAAACTTGGCCTCATCCCTCTTGCCCTCCTACTTAAGTATGACAGGTGGGTTTACTGACCAATAGCAAAGCCTGAGAGGAGGTGAAGCCAAACTAAACATTTAGTGTGTGGTTTACACCTCTGGACCTGCAGTCTTGTACATTTAGCAACCTCTGTTTATTCATACTTTTGCTAGTAACTATTTTTGAAAATTGCACAGGTTTGTGTCGTGTTTATGTGAAACCTGTGTGTTGCAACTAGTAAAAAGGAAACATGTCCTGGTTCAGGGGGTCGGAAAAAACACAAGATAAGCATAGTGTGTAATAAAGGAAGTTAGTTTTTCCTTTAGTTAGTTCATCCTACATATGTAGGACATGCATCACGATCAGTTTATGCCATGTACAGTATTTAGTAGTACTTACTTGTAGCTTCCCATTCAGATTTACTTAGCGTTCCCTGAAAGTAAAAAAAAAAAAAGAAAAAAAAAAAGAGAGAAAATAGATAAATATAAAGCTCCCAAAATATGGCATAATTCTTTAAAGAATATACATGTGAGAAAGTTCAAATAAATCTGTGCAATCTTGTGTTATTAAAATTTAGATTTTATGCATATTTTTGGTTTTAGATTCTTATATAATTTGCTGCTGGCTGATCCTCTCATCTCACTGATAAGATAGATCTGATTGAGACCAAGGCTCCTAGAAAGAGTGAATATATCTGTGAATATCTGCTTGACACTTCAATGTTTACTTCAACCCAGCTGCAGTGAGCTTAGATCAGAGGAGAGGCTGGCGGGTTACGTGATAATTCATAATGCACAACTGTAAAATAAATGATTGTACGTTTTGTTTTGTTCCCCCCCCCCCCCCCATAAACTAGAAAGATGGTAGGAGGTGACACGATTCAGCGTAAAAGAGAATTTTTCTATTTTTTTCTATTTTGGGTAAGAAAAAAAAACCATTTATTTCCTCAGAAATAACATGTTATTTGCCAATTCACACAAATCGCACCTTCGACACGAAGTGTTAAAAAATATGTACGAATTTGGGCCATCAAAAACAATGAAAATTGAAGCATGAATAAAACAAAAAGCACAGCAAAATCACCCAACTCCCACTTAGGAACCACAAATACAGAATATGTAACCCCAACATTCCATACTCCTGCTATGTGCCAGCTGTACCATGTACTTGTGTTAAAGAGTGTCTTGTTCTCTTTGTATTGCATCTTTGTGTGAAATCCCCAGTGCTCCTGCCAGTCCCAGGAGAACACAGCATGGTCAGCTCTCTAGCCGAGAACTCAGTTTGATGTCCTCCAATGATCAGACTTGTCCTGACTGTTAATACCTCTAACAGTTGACCGCGGATTTAGTAGCATGGAAATTTCATGGATTGACTTCTTACACAGGTGGCAGCCTATCACGGTATCACGCTTTATTTCACCGAGCTCCTGAAATCAGCCCGTTCTTTCACAAATGTTTGTAGAAAGTCTACATATTTAGGTGCTTAATTTTATACATAGAGGTGATTGTATATATATTATATTCCACACACGGGCCTCAAAATAACATGGGGGCCAGTGTGGAGCCCAGTCTTCCAAGACCTCCAGAGTCTCTCCCATCCCTTCCTGTGCACAAAGTCCAGGCGGAGGAGAGTCTTGCACAGCCCCACAGAGGACACCACGGGCCTGTCCTCCATCACACAGGCCCCTCCCCACATCTGACAGACCATGGAGCAGAGGACGAGTGCTCATAGGATGGCCAGCCACACACCAATGTCTGTCGATGCCGCCTTCAACTGCAGCGGCACTCCCCACTGGGAGACCAGGGTCACCAAGTCCCACCACCTGTGTGACAGCGGACAGCCCCCCTACAGCATGGCGCTGATCCCCACTGACCACAACAACCAGGTGGACCCAAGGCTCAGCTACCCCTCCTGGCACCAGGTGGAGGAGTCACTGCTGGACAGGTGAGAGCTGTACCACTGCCTCCCCCCCCCCACATTTATCCCTTTGCCTTCCTCCTGTGACACTGCCAGCCACATATCCTGCGATGCTGCCCGCCACCTATCCTGTCTCCTGTCCCACTGCCCCCCTCTTGGGGGATTTTACTGGGGACAGACTCACCTGGGAGTGGATCTGCATAAAACATTTAACTGTCATTTCATGAGAGGGAGTGTTTAGGGGGCGTGCCAGGGTATGGTATGGGTGGGGCAACTGGTGGCAAGTAACTCTTAAGACCTGGCTAATCACTTGAAATTTCAGGACTTGAAATTGATACACACACACACACACAGACACACACACGGGAGGCAAGAAGTCTACACACCCCTGTTAAAATGTCAGGTTTCTGTGAACTAAAATAAGGTAGTTGCATAAGTGTGCACACCCTCTTATAACTGGGTATGTAGCTGTGTGCAGAATTAAGCAATCACATTCAAAATCATGTTAAATAGGAGTCGGTACACACTTGCCATCATTTAAAGGGACTCTGATTAACCCCAAATAAAATTCAGCTGTTCTAAGTCTTTTCCTGACACTTTTAGTTGCATCCTACAGCAAAAGCCATGGCCTGCAGAGAGCTTTCAAAGCATCAGAGGGATCTCACAGTTAAAAGGTATCAGTAAGGAGAAGGGTAGAAAAGAATTTCCAAGGCATTAAATATACCATGGAACACTGAAGACCGATAAGTGGAGAAAATATGGCGCAACAACCTTGTTACCAAGAACAGGACTTCCCTCCAAAATTGATGAAAATACAAGAAGAAAACTGGTTTGGGAGGCTGCCAAGAGGCCTACAGCGACATCAATGGAGCTGCAGGAATATTTGGCAAGTACTAGCTGTGTGGTACATGTGACAACAATATCACATATTCTTCATATGTCTGGAATATGGGGTAGAGTGGCAAGACAAAAGCCTTTTCTTACATCCAAGCCTGGCTAAATTTTGCAAAAAGACATCTGAAATCTCCCAAAAGCATGTGGGAAAATGTGTTCTGGTCTGATGAAACCAAGGTTGAACTTTTTGGCCATAATTCCAAAAGATATGTTTTGCGCAGAAACAACACTGCACATCACCAAAAGAACACCATACCCACAGTGAAGCATGGTGGTGGCAGCATTATGCTTTGGGCTGTTTTTTCTTCAGCTGGAACTGTGGCCTTAGTCAAGGTAGAGGGAATTATTAACAGTTCCAAAAACCAGTCAATATTGGCACAAAACCTTCAGGCTTCTGCTAGAAAGCTGAACATGAAGAACTTAATCTTTCAGCATGACAATGACCCAAAGCATACATCCAAATAAACAAAGGAAAGGCTTCACCAGAAGATTAAAGTTTTGGAATGGCCCAGCCAGAGTCCACACCTGAATCCAATCGAAAATCTGTGAGGTGATCTGAAGAGGGCTGTGTACAGGAGATGTCCTCACAATGACAGATTTGGAGTGTTTTTGTAAGGAAGAGTGGGCAAATATTGTCAAGTCAAGATGTGCCATGCTGATAGACGCATACCCAAAAAGACAGAGTGCTGTAATCAAAAAGGCGCTTCAACAAAAGGATTAGTTTAAGGGTGTGCACACTTAAGCAACCATATATTATTTTAGTTTTTTTATTTTACTTCCTTCTACCTAAAAGATATCAGTTGTTTGTTGTTCAACTGAGTTGTACAGTTTAAAGGTTACATTAAAAAGGTAGAAAAACTTCTGAAATTATTTATATCTGTCTTTTTACATCACAGAAACCAGACATTTTAACAGGGGTATATATACTTTTTATATCCACTGTATGTGTCTAGACCAAAAACACTGGTGATATTTTGAGTCAAAATGAGAAGACAACTGACATTTTAACAGGGGTGTGTAGACACTTTATATCCACTGTGTACACACACACTTTGACAATATCGTACCAGATATTTAAAGCATGGCTAAATAAATGGTTGTTCAAGGAACATCAGGACATAACACCTCTACTGTGGGCTAATAAAAACACAACCATGTATTTTTTTTTTTTTTTTTTTTTAGCAACAGCACATATAAATTGACTAAAACACTTACCAAGGGCATCTTGGCTTTCCCACTCTCCTTAGTTCTCTTGGCATGCTCATAATCTTCTTCATGGTTAGAGACTAAACTTGCATTTGATGCTGGTGGATATTGCTAAAAGGATTTTAAAATGTCGTATAGTTAATGACACAGCAAACTGACTACCTTACAAAAATAGAATACAAAATGCATTTAAAACTTCTACTGTATATCCCAACAGGGCTGTATAGTAGAAACCATTACAAAATAACTAGATTTTATCCAACAATCTGACAATGAGAGGTAAATGTTTTTTTTATTCAAGTTGTTATGACAAATACATAATCCATGAGCAAAATGAGTATCTCCTAAAAGCCACAATATTATGCAGCACTATATTATAACTATCACGCTCCAGCACTTACTTCATAAGACCATGCAATCAAAAACAGCAGCTTGTGTCTGATCCTTTTCATTTTACCACGTCATACATCAATTCTTCCACACCAAAATAAGACTATTCTGTAATGTGTACTCAAGAGTATATATTTTTAAAATCTCTAGAGATGCTATTAAGTCAAGCAATTTTCCTGGCTGTGACCAAAAGGAGTATAATTATAACACAGTGAATGCCTTACACAAAAAAAAATAAAATGCACGCATGAGAGCAGGAAAAGTCAGCTACAACTGATTTAAGCATTCCATGCTTTTACTTTATTTTATATGGGAATTTTAAAAAATTATGTCCATTAGGGGAAAAAACCCCTCAAAAAAAAACAAAAAAGGATTTTGCCAGTTATAGTTAAAGCAAACTATTTCACATTATCTTCCACTTTCAATAATCAATAAACAGTCCTTCATTTTAGCTTTTTAAAGTTCTTTAGCATTACAGTACATTGTCACTGAGCTAATTGAAGGAGGGATACCACCAGGAAAAAAAAAAAAAAAAGTCGTATTAACAACCAAACAATTCTCTATGATGGCAACTTTCACCTGAAGACATGTGTACCTATTACATAAACGGTTTCCCTGTGGGCAGTGGCTGGGCTTTCCTAATCAGCTGACATTCAATAAAAGTACTTTTTTCTGTTGTCCGGAATATACCTTACATGAAATAATTTAAACTCCCCCGCCCCCCTCCGAAGTCACATGCTCTGGATGTAGTGACATTGTGGTTTGTGACAAAGTATTTTAAAGGAGAAGACACTATATGCAGTATTCTTTACATGTTATGGCTTGTTGGAGGAGATTCCAGTTTGAAGCTGGAGCTCTGAATGGAGAGCAGGATTCGGTTCCGTTGGTAGGAGCAAAAACAGGGATAGACCGTGGGAGAGCATATCATTAACCTCTCTGGCGGTATGATTATTTCAGATTTTTGGTACTGAAAGCGGTACCATTATTTTGCATGGAAATATGTAGTTTTTCTATTGTAGGCCTGTCATTTTTAAGAATAACTCACGAAAATCTGTCCGAACAAGAGTCTAGTAAACATTCCGGATATAATAAAACTTAAACACGAAATCATAATTTAATAATCATAAAAAATATAATAAATTTAATTCAATAATATAATCAAACCAAAAACACTGAAATTTGAAATATAGCGCCAAGTTCGCACATTGCTGAGCAAAGTTGCAGAATCGTTTTCAGTGTCTGATGACGAATTTCCCCACAAATCATTATCACTCAATTCTGCAAGTGGTTCTGATTTACGATCGCTGTTCTCTAGCTGGTCTAAAACCAATTTTGACATAAAGGGACGCTTTTTGGACGCCATGGACTTTTCCCAGTTTCCAGGCAGAAACAGTCAAAATGCAGGCAGGGCACAGTACAAAGCAGTAGGGACAAAATGTATGTGAAATGCTTTGAAACAGCAATGTAATAATCGTTTAAAAAATGATATTTAAAACTTTCAAATTCGCCGTCGGTTCTGGCGCCCGTACGTCACAGGGACAGGAACATGGAAGCCGGCATCAGCCAGAGGAGATGGCCGAGGATGCTGCAGGGGACACATCGCGGGAGCGAAGGACAAGGTAAGCACTGCAGGGAATCCCTGAGCAACGCCGCATGGTAAGCCCGAGTGTAGCTCAGGGAGGGTAAAAAGATGAGAGTTCACCTGGTGGGGTGGAGTACCGGAGCTGATGCTGCATACGTTACACGGAGGTGTAATATTGAGTGGTAGTCCTATTCTGGAGTACTGCTGCTATTTTGTTAAAATGTTTGGACATTTCACTTTTATGTTAATGATTTAGACACTCATCCACATATACTAAGATTTATTTATATGTGTTGGTGTATATGCACAAAAGCATATTAGGAATATTTTTCATAACCAGTGTGGTTTTATGAAACTCACTATTTTTGGGATTGAGGATGACATTTGTGTGACTAGCACAGCCCTATTTTCGATTTTTTGGAGGTTTGAGGACTTATATGAGAGATCATTGAGTGCAATGCAGCTGGTTCACATTCAAAATATTTTTTTTATCATATTTTAGTGTATTTCATACACAGGTTTATAACACAGTAGCAAATTTGGATCTGATTTTATGTATCACGAGGAAATATATTGAGAATGTTCCCTATATTACATATACACACACAGTTATGTCAATATGTATTTGACACAGGCACAATTTTAGATTTGTAGGTATTTACCAAAACATGTTCAAGCTATAGTTATGAAAAGGTTATGGGCTGAAAGTGCACACTCTCAGGTTTAATTTGAGGGTATTTATGTCCAACTTGGAGGAAGGGTTTAGGAATTACAAATCTTAAGAGTAGCCATCCCCCCCTTTTTCCAAAGGACCAAAAGCAATTGGACAAATTAATATCATAAATAAAATGCTCATTTTTAATATTTTGCTGAGAATCCTTAACTAACAATGACTGCCTGAAGTCTGGAACCCATGGACATTACCAAAGACTGGGTTTCCTCCTTACTGATGCTTTGCCAGGCATTAACCTCCCTGGCGGTATTCCCGAGTGTAGCTCGGGGTAGAGTTTTAGTACCAAAAGCGGTAACCCCGAGCTACACTCGGGCTTACCATGCGGCGCTGCATAGGGAGTCCCTGCAGCACTTACCTTGTCCTTCGCTCCCACGATGTGTCCCCTGAAGCGTCCCGGCCATCTCCTCCGGCTGATGCCGGCATCCGGCTTCTGTGTTCCGGTCCCCGTGACGTCGGGACGTACGGGCGGCGGCGGGAAATTTGAAAATTTTAAAAAATGTCATTTTTTTCAAAACACATTTTTCACAGTAAAACATTGCTGTTTCAACCCATTTCACATACATATTGTCCCTAGTGCTTTGTCCTGTGCCCTGCCTACATTTTGTCTGTCTTTCTGCCTGGAAACTTAGAAAAATCCATGGCGTCCAAAAAATGTCCCTTTAGGTCAAAAGCGGTTTTAGACCAGCTAGAGAACAGCGATAGTAAATCAGAACCACTTGCAGAATTGAGTGATAATGATTCGTGGGGGAAATTCGTCATCAGACACTGAAAACGATTTTGCGACTTTGCTCAGCAATGTACGAACTTGGCGCTCTATTTCAAATTTCAGTGTTTTCGGTTTGATTATATTATTGAATTAAATGTATTATTATATTATTATTTTTTATGATTATTTATTAAATTATAATTTATGATTTCGTGTTTCAAATTTTATCATCCCCGGGATGTTTAATAGACTCTTGTTCGGACAGATTTCAGTGAGTTATTCCTAAAAATTACAGCCTACAATAAAAAACTACATATTTCCATGCAAAATAATGGTACCGCTTTTCAGCACCAAAAATCTGAAATAATCATACCGCCAGGGAGGTTAACTGCAGCTGTCTTCAGTTCTTTATGTGTCTGTTCCTAATGTTGCTGCTCTCTGATGGATTTGTTTTGTTTTTGAATCCTTACAATGGCCCGTTTCACTTACATTGACAGTTCCTTTGAACGCATAATGTAGGTTGACAGCAATAGATTGCAAATGCAACACTTAGAATCAACTCCAGACCTTTAACCTGCTTAATTGATGAAGAAACAATGAAGTAGTCCACATCTGGCCATGAAACCTTTTGATTCAACTGTCCAATCACTTTTGGTTCCTGGAAAAAAGGGGGGTGGCTACTCTTAAAAGCTGTAATTCCTAAACTTTTCCTCCAATTCGGATGTACATACCCTCAAATTAAACCTGAGAGTGTGCACCTTCAGCCCATATCCATTTCATAACTATAGCTTGAATATGTTGAGAAAATTTTGAAAATAAAAATAAAAAAAATATAGAAAATTTGAACACCCAATGTCACTTCTGCAATAAAATACACTTATCTGCTTGTTCGCAATCCTCCCCAGAATGTAAAATAGAGCTGTGCACCCTGACAGTGTCAGTGTCCTGGGTTGACCGACTCCTGCACATGTGCAGGAATGATGTAATTCTGCGCTGGCCAATCAAGGAAGCTGAAACCGGATTCCTTGAAAAAGCCGGTGAGACTATGCTAGTGCTAAAGAAGGACCTCACAGGCATCAGACTGTTGGAGCAGAAGAAAGTATTATTTGCTTTAGCTCCACTTTATATTCTGGCTAGGATCAAAAGCACTCAAAAAGGTTTAATCCTACAACTGGAACATTGACACCATCCATCCACTGCCAGCCCAACATGTAAAAGGGTTTGTAAACCCTAAAATAAAAAATCTATATATGCTATTCAACTATACCTACTGACTAGTTAGTGTTGCCTGTAATTTTTTTTTTTCTCTTCATTGAGCAGGTTGCTGCAAAATACCTAATCATCCTGCAAGTTCCCAGAATGCCCGTTTCAAACTGACCAAATCCAGGCATGGAGGCAGATGTGTCCTAGCATGGTTAGTTTTCATCCCTTCTATACCTCCTAGGAGATGCAGAGCAGGAGAGGAGCTGGCCAGCAGTGATTGTAGCTGTGGGAGAGCTGCAGGCTGTGCAAATCAGGAACAGAGATATGGGATTGCTATGCACACAGACAGGGAATGTACCTCCCTGCTGAATGTGACAGCAGACGCTGCCTGTCTATTTACTAGTGGAACATTCCTCCTCTAGAGGGGAAGAGAACTGAGGGAGGACTATGCAGGTGTGTGATCACAGGATAAAACCTAAACAAAAAAAAAAAAAGTACAGAACGTTTTATCTTTCACGCAGCTACACTTGATTATGGTTAGTAAATGTTTTTTCCTAAAATGCACTGTGTTTACATATCCTTTAATACAATCAGCATTGAAACTTTAGAACAGGGATATGTTTAAAAAACAAAAATAACAAAAACTAAGCATCTAGAACTCAAAAAACACCTAAAGTGTCAGCCATGTCCCAATGAAAAAAAAATAAGATTTCCTAGACTAGCAAAAATAAAAGAAGCCTCATTTGCTCCAAACACAGCTTCCCGTGGCTTTCATTTACAGGCACAATCAGTTTTCATTATAGTGCCTTAATATAATAGCATACAAAGTTGGGCGACAGTCTTCTATGTCATTAACAAGGCTTAACAAAATTACCTCCAAAGCCTGCATTTTTTTCAGCAGAGTTTTCTGTTCGTCATTTTTAACCTTCTCTTCAAAAAATTCCTTAAAGGTGCTCTTGTAAATTAGTTTCATTTTATACTTCCTGGCCATTCTGCAAAACAAATAGATGTGTTAATTCCACCCACACTCTCACATCAGATCCACTGCAGCTTGCTTATTCTCCTTTTCTCCATCTATTTTAATTTATTTTTCCAAATAAAGCACTTAGAAAAGACACAGTGGCACCTCATGGCCAGTACTGGAATTACAATTTAAAAAGTTATTTCTTGGTCATTTTCATTGCATTCTTTACCATTCGCAATGCAAAGATGCTTTTAGAAAACCCATACTGAGAAATATTGGATACCATTGCCGAAACTCCTGAAAAAATACGTGTTGCCTGGCTTAACTACTTCAGTACTTTACACATCAAAAGCTTTGATTTGACTGACATTCCAATCTGCACATTTGATCTAGGACTTGACACCTTTTAATTAGTCTGACAGCCAGGTAACTAGTATTTTAAGAAAACTGGTAGCTTTAGCTCATTTCTCCCAGTACAAGTCTCATTGTAAAAAGGCTTCCAATTCTCAAAAGAACAAACAGTGCTTGATATCACAACTGAGATCAGAATTGGCTTTGAAAAGTTACATAGTTAGCCTGACTGAAAAAAGACAAAAGTTCAACTAAAAAAAAAAAAAAAAAAAAAAAAGCTATAACCCTATACCCACAGTTGATCCAGAGAAAGACAAAAAACCCAGCAAAGCATGAACCAAATTTCTCATGCAGGGAGAAAAATTCCTTCCTGATCCCAAGAGGCAATCGGATATTCCCTGGATCAACTTTACCTCTAAATGTTATATCCAGTTATATTCTGTGTATCTAAGAAAGAATCCAGGCCTTTTTTAAAGAAATCCACTGAGCTGGCCAGACCCAAATCTTGAGGGAGTCGATTCCACATTTTCACAGCTCACTGTGAAGAAACCTTTCCGTGTTTGGAGATTAAATTTATTTTCCACCAGATGTAAAGAGTGCCCCCTTGTCCTCTGTGATGACCTCAAGGTGAATAACTCTACACAGAGTTCACTATATGAGCAACTGATGTATTTCTACATATATTATTCATGTCCCCCCTTAATCTCCTCTTCAAGAGAGAATAATTTCAGTTCCTTAGATTAATAGATTTGTTTTGAGACAACCCAATGTTGAATTTTCTCTCAAATTCAGTCCCGGTGACAGATGCCACCAGATAAAAAAAAAAAAAAAAAAACAACACCACACACACACACACACACACACGGAAAGAGTGAATCTCCCTAGGGTGACAGATGGAGTTAAAAGTCAAGTCTGATGGGGCTGTAATCCCCTTACCAAATCATAAGAAAAAAAAAAAAAAAAAAAAAAACTGTAAAACTTATGAAACAAAGCATTTTTTATATCTTTAAACCACTTTCTCTCAGGAAGATTTAACCTCCCCCCCCCCCCCCCCCCCCCCCCCCCCCCCCCTCATGACCAGGCCATTTTTGCTATACGGCGCTGCACTACTTTTAACAACTGCGCAGTCATGCAACACTACACAAAATTAATTTTTTTTTCACAGAAAGCTTTTCTGGTGGTATTTGATCATCACTGGGTTTTTCATTTTTTTTGCACACACACACACACCAATATTTACTTTTTGCTATAAAACACATCCAAGAAAAAAAAATGAAATGTCTTCATAAATTACGCCCAAAATGTATTCTGCTGCGTGACAGGCAGGGAAAAAAAAACAAAACAAAACCCCAGTAAGTATATATTAGCTGGTTTGCATGAACGTTATAGCGTCTATAAATGGTATATATATATATATATATATATATATATATATACACACACACATATACATACACACACACACACGTATATATATATATATATATATACACACACACACACACACACATTTACATACACACACACAAATTTTATTTACTTGTACTAGTAATGTCAGCAATCCTTTCATAGCAAGCCTGCATTGGGCATTCTGATGCTGACACTGGGTGGAAACTGACTTAGTGCTTTTTATTAGCACTGGTCACTGTATAACTGCCGCTGTTATTTCCAGTGACACCAAGTGTACTAATGACACTGGGTAGGAAGGGGTTTAACAACTGGGGCAAAGGTACATTAATCATATTCCTTATGTTGTTTCACTAGGGGAAGCCTGATAAAAAGCAGGACATCTCTGCTGACAGGAGAGATCTGTGTTTACACTCACAGATCTCTCCCCTGTCAGCTGCTCCGCCGATCACCGAGTCCTGGCCATGAATCGCTGGCTGGGACCCGGTGATTCACATCTTCGACAGTCCGCCATCTGACTGTCCGGGTAAGGCTGCGCGCATGCCTTACCCAGAAATGCAAAATCATGAATACGCCTTGAAAACGTATTTGCAGCCCTGATCAGGATATTCTGACAGCAGAGGAACCCCCTCTGTCAGAAGACAATGGCCAACCTGGGGAGGTTCCTCTATCCACCTTGCAGTCTGCTGGTACCAAATACACAAACTACATTGGCTGTGACAGGGCAGAAAGTTCTGAGCTTTCAATGTTCCTGAATGACATTTGGCTGTACCTCACAGTCAAGATAAGCAACTGGTTAAACAATTCCAAACAACAGATGACAGCAACGAGTCCATTACTAATGCCGATTAGAAACTAAGTAGTAACTGTACTCTGAACTGTGTTGAAATCAGACAGTTTACTCTGTTTAGCTTCAAGTGCAACTTAAAATGTAACCCGAGTTACTGCAAATCTCAAATCACTACCCAAAGGTGTCGGAGCTTTAATTGACTTAACGGCCCAGGCTTTAGCTGTACAGAAAGGGTCTGGAAGGCTGCTGCATTTAGATTTATGTCAGAGGTGGTTAGCAGTAGTCACATTTAAATGGACTTTTTCTCGAATGTTAAAAAGGTGTTTAACCACTCATCCAACATCCAGATCAAAAGACTAGTTGAACCTACAGTATTTTTTTAAAATTATGTCTCTAGCCTAGGGTTGCATTGTTATAAATACTGGTTGAGAAAAAAATAGATTGAGGGGGAAAAAAAAAAAATTTCTAATAAGGCTAGTCAGCATATTGGAAAAAGTGAAACTATTTCCACAAATACTTCGATAAAATTACAATTAGTAATAGCAGGTGCTGGTACAAACCATCTCCAACCCAGGTTTCCCCAAAGTCCCCATACCCAGGATGCAAACTGTACACTAATGTTTGCCTTAAAGTGGTATTAAACTCAAAAATGTAATTTATTTCAGCTAACCAAATGTTATGTGGTGGATGCTTTATTTTTTTAAATTTTTTTAGGCCTTCTCCCTCTGTGTTCACCTAGTGATCTGGCAAGTAATATCTCCTGTATCAGAGTGCCCCCACTCTGGTTGAAGGAGCACAGGCGGGCACACTTTGACAGCAGCATCAAAAGTCTGGGATAGCAGTGTTAGACGTACTAGCAGATTTAAATACACTAACAAAACACCAGCTCACACAGCAGTTACAGCAACTTTTTTTTCCCACTTTTGAGACAAAAGGATTTACAACATTAAATTAAAAAACAATCATTTTAAAGAAACCACATCAGCAGTAAATAGTTTGTCTCAACATTCCTAACTACTACATTTGCATGAGAGCTTGTTTTGTTGAACTGGCCAGATCACCATATGGGCAGCACAGTGGCTAAATGGTTAGCACTTCCGCCTGGCAGTACTAGGGTCGTTGGTTTGAATCCCAGCCACGGCACCTCCTGCCTGGCGTTTGCATGTTCTCCCTGTGCGGGTTTCCTCCGGGTTCTCCGGTTTCCTCCCACACTCCAAAGACATGCTGGTAGGTTAATTGGATCCTGTCTAAATTGACCATAGTATTTATGAATGCGAGTTAGGGACTGATCTCTCTCTCTCTCATCACAATTAAGAATTGGTAAGCTGCAATATGATAAAAGGTTTGCTTTTGTATTTAACTTAACGAGATTTACCTCTGCCCAACAATTCCAGCACAAAGCACTTCCAACTTCCTGTCCATTCCACTTATGCAGAGAAGTGAAACATTAAAATAAATATTTGTTCAAATCAATTAATAGAAGATACTGGCATGCACAAGTGAGCAAGACAGAAGTAGGTAATATTTTCATCTTAACTTCAAGATCTACACAAAACTGCTAGGCAAAGCTCTTCATTTGCATTTTTTTTAATTAACTAGATGGAGCTCAAAAGGGAAGGAACAGAAATGGTCTGCTCATTTATCCTAGATCAAAGTCAAGCAAGCTTTCCTTCAGCTCACTCTAGTGATGAGCTTGAGCAGGTGTTGCAGAATGAGAAGCTGTGAACAGAATGTATCCAAACTGAAGGTACCCACTGTTGAAATTCCGATTTATCAGAAAAACTGGTACCCCTCAAAACAAACTTTTTTGTTTTAATGGATGCAAGGGTAAGCAAGAACACAAGATAAAAGCGGAAAATTTCACTTAGTATGGATAAAAGTAGGCAAGTTATATACAGGACATATGAAACAATTTTACCAAATTACTGGGGGAAAAAAAAAACACAAACAAAAACAAAACACTTACTCTACAAGAATTGGAAAATACACCAAAAATTCTGGCACATTAACCACACCTTCCAGTCTAAAGTCATATTTGCACCCAAAGAGAGGATAGCTTCCCTTTTCCTGAAATGTGACACCATACACATCATTTCCAAAAGAATTTGTTTCAGAAGCTTCAAGACGTTTACTGTAAAGAGTTGATAGAAAAAAAAAAATTAGCAACCAAAAGACACACCCACAGACAATATAACACAGACAGAATCAGAAAAAGAGGTTTATTTGAATGGATTAAGAGAATAATTCTAATTTATTTATTTTTTTTAGCTTTGGGTGGGGCAAAGCACGGTATAAACACTTTCTCCCCTCAATGTGTTTACTGCAGTTTAAAACCATAGAACCTTTAGATGACTGGTCTGTTCCAACACCAGGAACAACATGGTAAAATACAATATATAGAAAGTATCGCTGCATTGCGAAGATCTAAAAATAAACAGATTCACAGCAGGCCTTCTAGAGCAGCGATAGGCAACCTATGAGAGGCAAAGATCTACCTGAAACAACATGAAAGATCTCTGGGGTTTGGCGCCCACCATAAAAATATAAACAGGGCCTACTTTGGACAGTGTTAGTAGGGCAATATAAAAGTGGGGCCAAGAATTAAAAATGCAAAATGACACTTGTAAATGCATTGACTAAAATGTACAGTATCTGTAATCTTTCCAAAGTTCCCAAATCAATTGTGATCTTAAGTGTTACACCTAAAACTCAATTTAGAAAAAGTGGGGAAGTGGTGTTAATTTATGTAAAAACAGAATGATTTGCAAATCTCATAAACCCATAATATATTTACACTAGAAAACATATCAAATATTTAAACTGAGAAAATGTACCATTTTAAGAAAAATAAAGCAATTTTGAAATTGATGGCAGCAAGATGTCTCAGAAAAGATGGGACAGGGCCATATGTAGTATCTCCTCTACTTCTAACACCACTCTTAACATCTGGAAACTGAAGAGACCAGTTGCTGGAATTCTGGGAGAGAAATTGTCCCATTCTTGCACAAGATGCGCCAAATATTTTCAAATGGTAAAAAGGTCATCTGGAAGGGAGCATATGCTGTTCTAAAACCGGGATATATTTTTCAGCATTGATGGTGCCTTTCCAGATGTGCAAGTTGCCCATTGCATAATCACTAAAGCACTCCCATACCATCAGAGATGCAGGCCTTTGAATTGAGCACTGATAACTGGAAGGTCCGTCTCCTTTTTTAGTATGGAGGATCCGGCACCCATGATTACCAAAAAGGTCAAATTTTGATTTGTCAGACTACAGAAGTTTTTCGTGGTCTTTGCAATTTTACATTAAGGTACATTATTCTGAAATTGTTTGACAATGTTTAGACGTAGCTTTTCAGATTGGTGAAGCTCTGCCCCTCTTTACTTCTGCAACTAAATTGCAAAATGTTCTTCCAGCTCTTTCATGTTAGTACCACTTTATCAGCTTTTTGTTGTCCTGTTTCAACTTTGAGATGTGATGTTGCAATCAAATTTAAAATTGCCTTATTTTTTTTTTAAAATGGTGCATTTTCTCAGTTAAAACATTAGATATGTTTTCTATTATGAATAAAATATGGGTTTATGAGATTTCCAAATCCATTGCATTCTGTTTTTATGTAGATTTTACAGTGTCCTAACTTTTTTGGAATTGGTGTAGTAGTACGTGTTAATAATTCAGCTACAAAATGTTCTAAAAACATTTCTGTCAAACATATCACAAGAGGCTGGCTGTTTACTAGTGTTTGGCAGCATGATGGGATAGACGGCTCATTTTTCTGAGCATTTTACATAGCAATAAAAAGGGATCTTAAAACACTTACACCAGCTCAAAGCCATCTGGAGTTGTGCCGATGAAATAGCCTCCAGGGCAAAGTTGTTCGCAAGCATTTCTGAGCATCATGTCAGCCTGCTCATATGTCTCAAATGAGTAATGGTAAACAAATTGACAGCTGCAGATGTCAAAAGTCATATTTGGATCTTTCAACTTTGTAGACAATAGCTCCTAAAATTAAAAAAAGAGTTACAGTACATTAACTTTCAGAATTCTCCCCGTTTGTCAGGTCTACCCACTATCCCTAAACCCCACTTCTTGTAGGGTTCTACACAAATCTTAAGAAATACAAACTATATGGCTTTTTTTTTTTCTTTGCATTACAGTAACTTTATTGGAGTATAAAAACAAGTGAGAACATACTCACAAAAGCCAAGGAGTAAGAGCATTGTACTGGATCACCATTCTACTTCTTGGGTTTTGTACATGGAACTTCCAGGGTTCTGACATAAGTCTCAGGGAACAAAACTATGTTGCTTTTTACAGACAATATGCAGAACTTTAAATATGCTTGAGACATGAGGCCAAGCAATGAATATTTTCTACTAGGTAGATTCTTATTTGCTTCAGAGATAGCATGGAGTACAAATAAGCTTTATTCCACAGGCAGGAGTTTAATTAAAGAAAGCAATTACAGCTAAGGCTGCTTTTGCTGGAAAGGTAAGATTCACTGTGACATGTCCCTAAAAAGTATAACATTTTCAAATCAACTAATAGATTAACTAAAGCGAATAAGCATAATAAATGGGGTGCGGGAGATGACAGGAACTGGAAAATGTTTCTTCTGAGAACATAACCACCAGCTCCGGACTATGATTCGGTCTTTTGACCTATTAGTACAGCCCAAACCAAGATTGCTCCAGTCTCCGCTTTGCCTTACTCATACAACTTTGAATACTCTAAAAACTGTACAGGACACAGAGTGGGGCTCCAAAAACAGGTCTTAATGTTACTCAGGTGTAGGGCACAGTGTTTTGTGCCATATATTTTTTCTGTCAAAAAAATCTATTTTGGGGTAGCAGATAAAGGGTTTGTAGTCTACTGAAAGCCCAACTTTTAGGTTTTGGAGAGAGCAGGGAGGGTTAAATTATCTGCTGGCATTTTATTGCTATCTTTGTGTCCCTTTGTGTCCCCCCCCCCCCCCCCCCCCCCCCCCCCCACACCTACTGTTAGCCCATCAAGGGATAGGAAACCTGCTAATCAGGTTTTTTATTGTGGTTAGTGCTTTTCTGTCCTTGTGACAATTTTACACCTAATTTTTGTATAGGCATCACAGGGACAGAAAAGAGAAAAACTCACCAATGGTATCAAAAACAGCTATAAAAACCTTGTAGACATTGTATCTTTCCCACTCTAACTAAAAACTATAAAATGTTTAGTTTGAAGACTTAATACTACATATTAAATTCGTAAGAGGCAAGTCTATGCAGGCCCTATGTCAACTGGTTACTTGCATTTCCATGACTTTAGACATTACACACCCAAATGCTAAGGGCCAGTTCACACTACCACTTCTGCGTTCCAGACGAGTTTATGCATGCAGTTTTTGACGTATGCGGTGCATTTTTTTTCTTTTCTCCTTTTTTTCCCCTTCATCTAAAAAGGACATCTGCGTTCTGATGCATTTTGTTGCCTTTTGCCACTTTCCAGATGCATTCCATACAGAAAGAAAAAAAAAGCAACATTCTACTTCTGTTGACTGCACTGTGTGAACTAGGGACACTGGAATTCATGTTAAAACACTGTCCATGTGTTTTTGATACAGAATAAAACACTGGACTGCATCTGGTGTGAACCAGCCCTTACACTTATACCTTACAGCAGCTGTAACTTGTGTTTCATAAAGAGGTTGCTAGGGTTTTGTGAGCAGTGCGTAGTGGCAGACTGAGGTCTTGCCTAACAGTGCCTGCATAGCTCTAGCACGACCGCACAGCCAGCGGCATGGGGCCAGTGAAGCTTCTTTTAATTTTTTCAGGTAAGTAACCACTGACAGCAATATTCATGTTAGCTGTCTGCAAGGACAGTATTGTTTTCACTGACCACTAATGTATTTGGAATTCTTTCTGTACCCAAATGTAAGGGAGCACTAAAACCACAACTAATGTAATGGCATTCTTTGATGCATTCACTGATCGCCAAGCATCAGGGAGCCCTTCTACTGAAAACCAATGTGGTGGGGTGGACAATTTGTTGAGTTGAGGCTGTATACCTTTTTTAGCCAGGGTTACCCAAAAATGGATTATTTCAGATTTTCCATGGTAAAAAGGAGAAAACCAAGTAATTTACAAAAAAGGAGACAATTGATAGCTGGCTTAAAAAGCAGAACTTTACCCATAACAACTTGATATGTTCTTTAGCAGGGAAAATTCATTCTACATGATTAATTATGCTACCAAAATTTGTGTGTGCTGTACATTGCTTCCAGCATTGTTCCTGTTCTTGACAGAGGCTGTCATTTTGCTGAAGCCCAGAGCCCACAAAGTAGTTAGGCTGACAGCAGATAAGCCTCTACATTTTTGGCACAGTAACTGAGCATGTGCAGAGCAGGGTGAAACTGTATTACTGGATTGTAAACAGTATAGAGCAGGGGCGTCAAACTGATGGTCCTCCAGCTGTTAAGGAACTACAAATCCCTTCATGCCCCCACCTGTGGGAGTCATGCTTGTAACTATCAGCCTTGCAATACCACATGGGACCTGTAGTGCAGCAACAGCTGGAGAGTTGCCAGTTTGACACCTGTGGTATAGACACTTATTTGTAATGTTTAACATAGCTGTACCTGCAAAAGGGACCAGACTGCAGTGATATAGCAGGACTTTAATTTTGGATAAAGGAAAGGTTAGACACATCAAGTTTTTTTTTTTTTTCTGCTTAAAGTGAAACTTTAGTCAGAAAATTCAATATACCTTTCCATACACGTACATATAGACCTATTGTTACAGTACAGTATAATGCCAGGGATAAGTGACCCGCTGGAATCCCCTGCAGCCAACCTGTCCTGATTAAACATGCTTTGCCCTATTCCTGGCAGCCACATGGTATTCCAGGTTTTGTTTAATATATGTATAGCCAGAGTTGGAATGAGACTACTGACATGATAGTAAAAGTGTAATTAAAAACACTTTGTATGCATTGATTAGACCAGCAATGGGCAAACTACGGCCCGGCGGACCTTTTAATCTGGCCCGCGGAGCTAGGCTCCTCTCACAGTCCGCCCTGAAGACCGGTGCAGCATGAAAATCTGTCTCCTGTGAGGATCTGTCCCCCTCGACGTATCTGCGCATGTGCCGGAGATCGCCGATCGGCTGCTAATGCCTGAAACTGGCACATGCGCAGATACGTCGAGGGGGACAGATCATCATAGGAGACAGATTTTCATGCTACACCGGAACAAAGTGGGAATACGGCGAGAGGAACGCAAAGGTAAGTGAATTGACACAGGGGGGACTTGGGGACTTAATATGGGGGATGAATTACTATAGGGGGGATGAATTACTATATGGGGGATGAATTACTATATGGGGGATGAATTACTATATGGGGGACGAATTACTATATGGGGGACGCATTACTATATGGGGGACGCATTACTATATGGGGGATGCATTACTATATGGGGGATTAATTACTATATGGGGGATGAATTACTATGCTTACTATGGGGGAATATTACTATACTTACTAACTTGGATGACACATACACATCATTCATCTACTCTTGGTCCGGCCCCCGGGTCCAATATATGAACCAATTGCGGCCCTTAAGTCAAAAAGTTTGCCCACCCCTGGATTAGACACTACAGTTTAATTTCAGGTGACTGTACATATGCATTTGGGGAAAAACTAGTTTATGGGTTAAAGATCAAATTCATTACAATTTGGGGAATATTTGTTTTTAATACGTTTAAAGCCCATTTATAAATCTCTTAAATAATTTGTTAGTTTCCACTGCTATAACCTCTGACTTATCAGCAATCACAGGAAAAAAAAACAAAAAAAAAACGGACCTTTGTAGAATCTGCAGTCACAAACTCAGCTTCAAAAATATGCTCATGGCGGGCTCGTTCTTTCATTTCAACATACCGCTGTTCACACTGCTGGACAGAAACGTCTGCTATATCTGTAAAAAGTAGCAAGAAAATATAATGAACCCTGGCAAATGCAACAAACGTCCCAGGCTAATTATAAGCTAGAACAGCTCTATTGCTCTAGTTAATTAGTACTAGAAGAACATTAGGCCTCACAACAATGACTGCCACTTATTGCAGGTCTATACATAATTAAATAATTCCTGGGGGGTCACTGAAAATAACAGGGGCTTTTCATAAAGAAAGTGCTGTATTTTATCTGCAAATTTTAATCACTATAACAACTTCTAAAAATTGACAAAAGGCAAGCAAGAAAAAAAAAACAAAAAAAAACAAATTAAACCAAGAAAATTAACTTGTTGCCGACTGCAGATAGCCGAATGACGGCTGCACTGCGGCCGGCCAGTTCTGAGTGGACGTCATATGATGTCCTCCCAGAACGCGCTCTCCTGCGCGCCCCAGGGGGCGCGCACCCGGCGATCTCCGTGATCGCTGTGTCCTACGGACACAGCTGATCACGTGATGTGGTAAAAGGCCAATCACAGCGGCCTTTTACCACCTGATCAGCGGTGTCCAATGACACGCTGATCACAGGGAAAAATGCAAGTGCCGGTTCTCGGCTGCACTTTCCTCACGCTGTCAGAGCATGAGGAAAGTACTGCCGAGAACCGGCAGTTGTCAGAGCGGGGATCGGCACCGATCATCGGTGCCCTGATGATCGGTGCCCTGATGATCGGTGCCCTGATGATCGGTGCCCTGATGATCGGTGCCCTGATGATCGGTGCCCAGCAGCCACCCGCAAGTTGCGCCCACCTGTGCCCAGCAGTGCGCCCACTAGCTCCGCCCACCTGTGCCCAGCAGATCACCCACCTGTGCCCAGCGGTGCACCCACCTGTGCCACTCTGCAGTGTCACACGCCTGTGCCCAGAAGTGCCACCCACCTGTGCCCAGAAGTGCCACCCACCTGTGCCCACCAGTGCCACCCACCTGTGCCCACCAGTGCCACCCACCTGTGCCCACCCACCAGTGCTGCCCAGCAGTGCTGCCAGTCAGTGCCACCAGTCAGTGCCCAGCGGTTGTGCCAGTCAGTGCCGCCAGTCAGTGCCCAGCAGTGATGCCAGTCAGTGCCGTCTATCAGTACCCATCATCAGTGTCACCTATCAGTGCCGCCTATCAGTGCTGCATATTAGTGCCGCCTATCCGTGCCACCTCATTAGTACTGCCTATCAGTGCCCTTTAGTGCTGCCTATCAGTGCCCATCAGTGCCGCCTCATCAACGCGCATCAGTGAAGGAGAAAAATTACCCGTTTGAAAAAATGTTATAATAGAAACAAAGAAAAGGTTTTTTTTTTTCAAATTTTTTGCAATTTTTTATTTATATAGCGCAAAAAGTAAAGCGCCCAGTGGCGATTAAATACCACCAAAAGAAAGCTCTATTTGTGAGAAAAAAATTATCAAAATTTCATATGGGTACAATGTTGCATGACCGCGCAATTGTCAATCAAAGTGCGGCAGCGCTGAAAGCTGAAAATTGGCCTGGTAAATAAGGGGGTATAAGTGCCCGGTAGGCAAGTGGTTAAAAAAAAGGAGTAGTAAAACATTTACTGTGTATTGCATGCTATAATGACTAGGTTTAGCTTTTACGTTATTCATGTCACAAAAGAATTGGAAAAGAAGTGAAAATGCCAAGAAAGCACTAAGTCTACCAGCACAACTTACAGCATACTGTAGTTACAAATGCGAATGCAAAACCTAGAGAAAAAGGTTCTACTAAATTTACAAATTATAGCACAGCTGTATAAACTAAGAATAGTGACAGCACTTTCTCCAGCGGTGCTTACAGATGTGCTGAAATAAAGTTGCTTTCCATCCTCAAGGTTAAGGCAATAAATCCTAAACTAGCTTACACAAACCCTCTGCTGAAATCAGCAGACAGCCATGGTTTACAGCAATTTAAAGCCGAACGTTAACTATAATCAATCAGGTGTTCCGTGCATCAATGTCCAGCCAGTCCTATTCATGTCAATTGGGATGCAGCAGCTGCACAGACACAGATGCTACTTCCATCTGACAGCCACGAGGGGTGCATGGCTCCAACTGCACACTGTCTGGGGCCATGCACTAGCATGGCTCTCAGGTTGAGAACAGCGGCTGTGACCATGCAGCCACGTGGTCCCAAATTACATGAATGGGCCTGCCTGGACAGTAATGCATGGAATGCCTGTGCATCCCTGTGTGGGTGTAAACAGCCCTTGAAAGGGTGTACGCTATAGTACGCCCAGCCCATGTGAACAAGGCCTAAAAGGTGACCATTTTATGCATCAATGTTAAATGAGTTATCTTAACCCTCTGCCATCTCTTAATGGACAACTTGGTCCATTAAAGTGTTAGCTGCTCAGCCTTAAAAGGATCTATATTGAACTTTTTAAATAATATATTAAATTTCCACATTGCATTTCATTTCTCAACTTAATCTGAATAATTAGGTTTTGAAGAATCCCATACATTTACTTCCTCAAAATCTGAGACACATTAACTATACCCTGTAAGTAGGGATGTGGTGTCAAACATTACACAGAGCCTGACTTCTAAACAAAAAAAGTTGCTGAATCAGTACATGAATCGCTGCTTGCAGACAGCTAGGTATCATAGGATTGATTCGTCCTTAGAAATTCAAAAACCACAGGAGGCAGCTGTTAAAAGAGATGGCCTGCACATAAGCAGTAATCACAACAGGGAATATACATTTTTCAAGTTTATGTTGGATTGTCAAAATACCTATCATTGGTATTGCTATTACATCAAATGAAAAGTACGCTGCGACTATCAGTCACTTAATTTGTTAGTCAAGCCCATGTAAAATTGCTAGTGTACTACCCTCTCCACATTATGTCAATACTGCTATCCAAGGGTGCCTCCATTGATCCTCCATAGATAAACAGGTCGACGGACCAGAAAGATTTGAAGCGCCCCAATTCAGCAGGGGCCTGAAGATACACTTGGTAAAACTTTAAACCACTTGAGCTCTGAAAGGTTTTATCCCCTTCATGATCAGGCCATTTTTTGCTATTTAGCACAGCACTACATTAACTGGCAATTGTCCACTCATGCAATGCTGTACCAAAATAAAATGTATATCATATTTTTCAAACAAATAGAGCTTTCTTTTGGTGGCATTTGATCACCACTGGGTTTATTATATAAAATGAAAAGGCAGAGAAGGGAAAAAAAAAAAAAAACAAAAACCCCAACAACCCACACATTTTTTAACTTTCTGCTATAAAACATATCCAATTAACCACTTGCCCTCCAGAGGATTTACCCCCCCTTCCTGAGCAGGCCATTTTTTTTTGCAATACGGCACTGCATTACTTTTACAATTGTGCGGTCATGCAACACTGCACCACAATGACATTTTATGTCCTTTTTCCCCACAAATAGAGCTTTCTTTTGGTGCTATTTGATTGCCTGTGCAGTTTATTATTTGTGCTATATCCCAATACGTGTAAATTAATTGGTTTACGTTAAAGTTATAGTGTCTACAAATGGCGGTATATATACTGGATTTTTAATACTAGTAATGGTGGTGATCAGCGAGTTATAGAGGGACTGAGGAGGGCATTCTGACAATGGGGGGAGCCGACTAGGTGTCACTGACATACCCAGTGACACCAATACAGTGATCACTTTTGGGTGGCACTCCGCTTTGACATTTCTAGATATTCCCATATTATAACAGATGCTCACTTTTTAAATTCAGATCCACTTTAACGAAGAGGTTTAAGCTAACATCTCTTTCCTGGTTCCTCCTCTCCCCCCACCACTTTAAAAGGAGAAGTTCACCTTTGGAAAACATGTTACATGTTTCCACTCCTGCAGTCTCTTCCCGATCCACTACCTCCCTGTCACTAGGGAGATTATCCCAGAACTCACTGTCATTAATTCTATGAATGGAAGAACTAAAAACTGCCTTCAGCGTTAGCGACTGACAGCTTGTAGTTCTCAATGAACTACCAGGGCACTGGTGAAAGCTCTAGGTAGTTCATTGATCCTTACGGACATTTAGTAATTGCCTGCTCGTACAATGTATGGGCAAGACAGGGTACTGAGAGTCTGCAGGATCCAAGCATTGCAACCCTGATCTGATGTTCATGGGTGCAATGCCTTACAGGCTGAAATGTAAAACAAAAAAAACAAATGCACTTTTTATACCTGCAAAAAGATGTACAATTATTTTACAAACTTGATGAACTTAATAAAAATAAATAGGTTTTATTTAAAGGAAATGTACCTTACTTTAGAACCAGTGACGTGATAACTATGTCTCCGTGCTTCTCTATGCAATGCAGGCTTGTGGGAGAAGCTGGAAGAGTGCTGTAAATAGCTTGAAAACATCACAGTACCCTACTTCGGCACTTCAATTTAGAGCTCCAAACTCTGAAGCAAGCAGTAGGCTGGGGCTCTTGAAAAGGCTTATACATATATCAAAACGCCTTGATGGGTGAGTGTTAATCTGGAGAAGTGTGCTTTCATAGATAGTATTGGCAAGCAAAACACCCTAGGTAGTGTCTTCATGCTCATCTTACAAAACGGAAATTCAATGAATAAAAAAAGGTGGGCCAAGAACAGTAAAGCTAGGAAGGAAAAAGGGATAAGCGATGCTGGATGTCCATCATCCAACATACAAGGCAGGGTCTGACTTTAATGCAGTGAAATTTAAACTAAGCAATTTTGGTACAGGAGAGGAGTCTGTACAACTGTGAAAAAATGAAGGCAAGGCTGGAGTTCAAATTTAATTAAAAAGGAATAAGCCAAGAACACCTCATCAGATAACTCGCTGTACCAAACATAAAAAAGAAACCTAAATCAAAAAAAACTTAAACACATTTAAAATGGTTGGGAAAAAAAAAAAAAAAAAACTTACCTGTACAGACAAGTTTATCTATTTTGCCTTTCCTCCACTTTAACAAATCTCCTCCTTTCCCACAGCCGAGATCCAACACTGCAATGTTCCTGGTTTTTTTCTCCCGCACTCTTCCTAAAAACTCATCTGTCAAATGTTACAAAAAAAAAAAATTATAGTATAATATAATATACGGAAATGCAAATCCTGATGAGGAATTCCAGCCAATTACAGACACAGGTGAATAACAAAGTACCATTTTACATGTAATCCTTCTCAGTCACTTGCCAAGGAGCATGACACTGGTAAATCACCATCACAAATCTGGTACCGCAGGCTGCTCACTGTACTAAAAATACAGTAAGGAACTTCCTAATATTGCACACATGCACATTACAGAATACATTTCTCATGTTCTCACAAAGCCACAAGCTTAGCCTTTTGTTATGCAAAGTCAGAAGGAACATTACTGGTGTCATCCTCATTTTAACCCATGCAAGCCAACTGACTTCTCTTTGTACTATTCCATTGACCAAATGTTGGAGGTCACTCTGAACTGCATTTTCATAATTAAAAATATATAAAAAATTATAAATAAGGTTGTCCAGTAACACACGACTACAATGAGACAACCCCCAAAAACAGGAATAATTTCATAGGTGGAGGCCACTCACATTTTTCCACTACTCATCTTTGACTGTTTTTTCACTAGTTTTGCATTTGGCTAGGGTCAGTGTCACTACTGGTAGCATAAAGGAGATACCTGGACCCTACAGAGGTTGCTCAGGCAGTCCAAAGCCTCCAGGACAGCACATCAATACGTGCCATTGCCAGGTTTGCTGCGTCTCCCAGCACAGTCTCAAGAGCATGGAGGAGATTCCAGGAGACAGGCAGTTACTCTAGGAGAGCTGGACAGGGCCATAGAAGATCCTTAACCCATCAGCTGGACCGGTAGCTTCTCCTTTGTGCAAGGAGGAACAGGATAAGCACTGCCAGAGCCGTACAAAATTACCTCATGTGGCGAGTGTATGCAGGCAGTTCCTGGAGGATGAAGGAATTGATACCATTGAATGGCACCCCCACACTCGCCTGAACTAAATCCAACAGAACACCTCTGGGATGGATATCATGTTTCGATCCACCCGACGCTACCAGGTTGCACCTCAGACTGTCCAGGAGCTCAGTGATGCCTTGGTCCAGATCTGGGAGGAAATACCCCAGGACACCATCCGTTGTTGCATTAGGAGTAAGCCCCAATGTTGTCAGGCATGCATACAAGAATGCGGGGGCCATACAAACTACTGAGTACCATTTTGTGTTGCTGTACTGAAATTTCAGCAAAAAAAAATAAAAAATGGACTAGCCTGCTGCAATTTTTCAATTTGATTTTTGGGGTGTCTTTGAATTCAGTCCTCTGTAGGGTGATAATCTTCATTTCCACCAAACGATGGGGTATCCTTACGTTCATAACACATTACCCAGTCCATATCATAATAGATATCCAGCATGATATTTTTCCCAATTGAGATCTGATGTGTTCTTAAAGTGCTGTCTAACAGCTAGGCGAATGATAGGGGATGCCTAGATGGGGAATCCTCATGTAATTGCTTTTGTTAAAATTTAGTGATGCAATTCTTGTGCACTGCGACAGATTTATCCCAACCCCTTGTGCTACAAACATGAAATGTGAGGAAGTGGGGGGGTTGGAAATTAAAAAAAAAAATCTCTCCCCCCATCACACCCCCCCTCCCCATCATTGGATTCAGGTGTTCCAGTCACCTTCATGGCCACAAAAGTGTATAAAATCAAGCACCTAGGCATGCAGACTGCTTCTACAAATATTTGTGAAAAAGAATGGGCTGCTCTCAGGAGCTCAGTGAACTCAAGCATGGTACTGTGATAGGTTACCACCTGTGCAATAAGTCTACTCGTGAAATTTCCTTGCTACCAAATATTCCACGGTCAACTGTCAGTGGTATTATAACAACGTAGAAGCAACTGGGAACAACAGCAACTCAACCACAAAGTGGTAGGCCCCAGAAGGGTCAGCAGATGCTGAAGTGCACAGTGCGCAGAATTCGCCAACTGTCTGCAGTCAATAGCTAAAAACCTCCAAACTTCTTCTGGCCTTCAGATTAGCACAACAGTGCGTAGAGAGCTTCAAGGTAGCCAAGCCTTACATCACCAAATGCAATGCAAAGCGTTTGATGAAGTGGTGTAAGACACGCCACCACTGGACTCAAGAGCAGTGGAGATGTGTTCTCTGGAGTGATAAATCATGCTCCTCTGTCTGGCAATCTGATGGACATGTCCGGGTTTGGCGGTTGCCAGGGAAAAACGGTACTTGTCTGACTGCATTATGCCAAGTGTAAAGGTTTGGTGGAGGGGGGGGGATATGGTGTGGAGTTGTTTTTCAAGGGTTGGGCTTGGCTCATTAGTTCCAGTGAAGGGAACTCAAGGCGTCAGCATACCAAGACATATTGGACAACGCCCCTTCCTGTTTCAACATGACTGGGCACCCATGCACAAAGCAAGGTCCATAAAGACAGACAAGTGTGTTTGGGGTGGAGGAACGTGACTGGCCTGCACAGAGTCCTGACCTTAACCAGATAGAACACCTTTGAGATGAATTAGAGCAGAGACTGCGAGCCAGGCCTTCTCTCGTCCAACATCAGTGCCTGACCTCACAAATGCGCTTCTGGAAGAATGGTCCAACATTCCTATAGATACACTCCTAAACCTTGTGGACAGCCTTCTCAGAAGAGTTGAAGCTGTTATAGGGTGCGTGAAGTCAATACTGAAGACTGGGATGCCATTAAATTTCATGCGCGTGTAAAGGCAGGCGTCAGGATATATACACACACACTTAGGTCTATATATTTGGACACAGGCACAATTTAAGTTTTCTCAGGTATTTACCAAAACATATTCAAGTGCAATAGTTATATAATAGATATGAGCTGAACGTGCACCCTCTCAGGTTTAATTTGAGGGTATGTACATCCAAATTGGAGGAAAGTTTTATGAATTACAGCTCTTAAGAGTAGCCACCCCCCCTTTTTCAAGGGACAAAAAGTAATTGGACAACTGAATCAAAAGCGGTTTCACAGCCAGGTGTGGGGCTACTCCTTAGTTATTTCTTCATCAATTAAGCAGGTACAAGGTCTGGAGTTGATTCTAAGTGTTGTATTTGCATTTGGAATCCATTGCTGTGAACCTACATCATGCGTTCAAAAAGGAGCTGTCCATGCAAGTGAAACAGGCCATTGTGAGGCTTCAAACACAAAAGCAAATCCATCAGAGAGATAGCAGCAACATTAAGAGTGGCCAAATCAATCGTTTGGTACATTCTAAGGAAAGAAGAACCCACTGGCGAGCTCAACATAAAAAGGATTGGACGTCCACAAAAGACAACATTGGTGGATGATCGCAGGATCCTCTCTATGGTAAAGAAAAACCCACTCACAACATACAGACAAGTGAAGGAAACTCTCCAGGAAGTGGGCGTATCATCGTCAAAGTCTACAATCAAGAGAAGACTTCATGAGAGCAAATACAGGGGGTTCACCACAAGGTGCAAACCATTCATAAGCCTGAAGAATAGAAAAGCCAGATTAGAATTTGCCAAAAAACATCTAAAAAAGCCAGACCAGTTCAGGAAAAGCATTCTTTGGATGGATGAAACTAAGATTAATTTAGACCAATATGACAGGAAAAAAAAAAAAAAAAAGTGTGGAGAAGACTTGGAACAACTCATGATCCAAAGCACACGTCATCTGTAAAACATGGTGGAGGCAGTGTGATGGCATGTGAATGCATGGCTTCCAGTGGCTCTGGGTCATTGGTGTTTATTGAGGTGACAGAAGCAGCCGCATGAATTCTGCAGTGGTTAGAGATATACTGTCAGCTGAGATTCAGCCAAATGTAGCAAAGTTGATTGGACGGCACTTCACAGTAAAGATGGACAATGATCCAAAACACACTGCAAAAGCAACCCAGGAGCTTTTGAAGGAAAATAACTGGAGTATTCTGCAATGGCCAAGTCAATCACCTGATCTCAACCCAATTGAGCATGCATTTCACTTAAAGGCAAAACTAAAAAAGGCACAAAGACCCACAAACAAAGAACTGAAGACAGCTGCAGTTAGAGCCTGGCAAAGCATAAGAAAGGAGGAAACCCAGTCTTTGGTAATGTCCATGAGTTCCAGACTTCAGGAAGTCATTGCTAGTAAAGGATTCTCATCAAAATATTACAAATGAACATTATTTATAATTATATTAATTTTACCAATTAAATTTGAGCCTCTGAAAAATGGAGGGACCGTGTATAAAAATGGTTGCAGTTCCTAAAATATGTACTGTACTTGATATTTATGGTCAACCCCTTGAATTAAAGCTGAAAGTCTGCACTTGATTCATTTGGATTGTTTTGTTTTAATTTATTCTCCTGGCATACAGAGCCAAAAGTATGAAAAATTGTGCCTGTATCCAAATATATATGGACCTGTGTAAATATATATATTAAATTTTATTAGTGTTGCACCAAAATGAAAAATTATGTACCGAAAATTAAAATGGAAGATGCAAAAACCGAAACTGACAGTTTTTTTAAAATATATATTTTATCTATCGATTATAGGGGCATTTTGGACTGTTTTCTGCAATTAAAATCACCCCTGCTTCAATTGTAACCAGTCAGTGTATTTAAATAGATACAATATGCCGTTTTGTATCATTGCATGCATCAAACTGAGCATGGACCAGAGACAGCAAAAGGAGAGAGTTTTCCGAGTAGAAGATGAAAAAAAAAATGACAGACTGGCACATCAAAAGATAAAGGCTAGAAGACCATCTCCAAGCAGCTTGATGTTACTGTGATCAGTTGAAAAGTTTATTGGAAGCTGAAAATGGTTGTAAAGCCTAAACATTTTTTACAAAATGCATTCCTTTTGAGGTAAAAAAGGTTTAGGCTCTCACTCAATCCAGTGCTGTGTACATCTGCAGCAGGTCTCTCCTCTTCCCACTTTCTCAGGTTTGCCGAGAGCAGTGAGAACCATTGGTGCCAGCTGCTCTGTCAAACCCTGCGACGAGAGAGAGTAAGGCCAAACCTCACTGTCTGTCAATGGACACAGGCAGCAGAGCTCAGGATTGAGCAAGCTTCTTATGGTGGCACACCGAGGAGGGAGGGAACCCGAGAAGTGGATGTTTGAGTTTCATTGCACAGTGCAGGTAAGTATAAACCTGTTATTTTAAAAGAATATATCAAATAAATGAAACTTTACAAATCACCTTAAGGTCCATGGGAGAGTTGCCAACCTCCCTGGATGTGGCTAAAAGAGGAAATTTAAGCACAGACTAAACAGTGTGAATGGTGGACTTAAATTGTAGTTCTTTTTTCGTAGAAGAGTACCAACAGAACAAGACCTGAGGATAAATTGACAATAGAGACACCTTTTGCAGTGACAACTGTCTAATATTCTTACTTTGTTGAGATTTTCACTCACTATTTTATCTCTGGAACAAAAAAATTTCCAAATGGGACACAGAAAAAATAAATAAATAATAAAAACACACAAAAAATGTTTTACTTCTACCTGCCTCTATCTAAAAAATATGTTTTGGCTCCACATACACTATAATACTCAAATCCTTGAGTTCAACATTTTTAAAATCTATTATAGCTGAGTAAACTCAATTGTAATTGCAAAAAAAAAAAACAAAAAACAAAAAACAAAAACAAAAAAAAAAAAAACAACAACAACACACCACCACGCAATTATGTATAACTCACTTATGAGTGCACTCTTCATCCAGTTATTGAAGTTTCTCAGGTAGAAGATGCGAGACAGACTTCTCTGCTGTAATCCACACTCCTGGAGTTCATTGTAATGTGCAGCAACAGCTGAGGAATGTCCTTCTTCTGTGCACTATGTGCCAAAAATTAAAGAAAAAAAAAGTTATTTTATATATATTACACATACATACAGTGGGGATCGAAAGTTTGGGCACCCCAGCTAAAAATTTGTATTAATGTGCATAAAGAAGCCAAGGAAAGATGGAAAAATCTCCAAAAAGGTATCAAATTGCAGATTAGACATTCTTATAACATGTCAACAAAAGTTAGATTTTATTTCCATCATTTACATTTTCAAAATAACAGAAAACAAAAAAATGGCGTCTGCCAAACTAACATGTAAATTTTCAACAGGATTATGTCATTATGCACTTGCAAATGTATAGAAATGCATACTGCTACTGGGAAGACTTTGTTTGTTTTTATTTATTTTTATTACAACCTTTTAAAATCAAACAGCATTTCACAGAGCAGATAAATATAACCCGTTTTGCACAGAGCAGCCCTGAACCTCTTTTTTGGGTCCCCCCACCAGTGGTCCTGGCTCCTCCCCCCTGCCAAGTGCCCCCAATAGCAATTCTCTTGCTGTCGGGGCATTCCAGAAGACTTGCTCCCAACATTGTCCATACACACACAGCTTGGCCCCATCCCCCACTCTCAATGGCTTACTGGCTGCGATTGACAGCAGCAGGAGCCAATGGCTCTCACTGCTGTGTGAGCCTATAAGGAGTGAGACCCAAGAGAGCTGCTGCACTTATGCACGTCGCTGGATCGAGATGGGGCTCAGTAAAGTATAGTATGTTCTGCCTTTAGAACTTAAACTTTTTGAGAACCCCTTTATTGTTTGTATGTTGAGCGAACTATGAATTAGTTTTTTTTTTTTTTTTTTTTTTTTTTTTTTTTTTTAAAGAATAAAAAGGGGATCTATATTTTACATTACCAAACTGGAGATATAGGGTGGTTTAGCGACTTTACGAAGGCTGCTCTATGTTTGCAGAAAGATTCACAAATGCTTTGCAAAAGCTTAGAGAAAGCTTAGTGTTGACACTGCTCTTATACAAGCTAAAGGTCATGTGAACTAGACCTAATGGGCACTGTCCAGATTCACAGTTATAAAGAAAATATCTCCATGTATTGGTCAGTAATGCTCATAATTCTGTATTATATGCATTAGGATCACATGCACAGGGGTTGCAAATACACAGAAACAGTCAGGAGATACACACACACACACAGTGTCCAAGTCACTCATGGGGGGGTAGGGGGTGCACTATGACCTATTGGTTTCTTGCAGCACTTGAGTCCTCAAATCTCAGCCAGGACACTATCTGCATGGAGGGAGATTTAGATTGTAGGCTTATTAAAGGGCAGTAACTGATGTGAATGTATAATATGTAAAATGCTGTTTAAATTTTCCGCACATTATAAAATACCTGTAATAAAACACATTACTAAAAAGGTAAGACATTTCATGGGAGCGAGCTTTAAAATCTCTACTTGCAAATTAGAATTGTAGATTAGATTATAAACTCTAACAAGCAGGGCCCTCTGAATCCTCCTATATTCATTTGTATTGTAATTGTATTGTCTCCCCTTATGTTGTAAAGCGCTGCGTAAATCCTGTATAATAATGAATAATTAGAAGACTTTTAAAATGGCACAGAGGTCTGCAAAAGAGTTCTGTATTAATCAATATTTAAAGAGTCATGTGTATTCTGTGTGGTAATCAAGTGCAAGACTTGGCCTTTGTGCAGAAGCCTTCTGTAATAAAGACCAGTGGATAAGGCTCTCTTTATGCAGGGTTTTCTGCAGGCATCCTGTGATGGGTGGAGCCACGGGGTCCCACCAATAGCTGTGCTCTCTGTACAGAAAAGTGATTATGTCACTGCTACTTTTACAAGGCAATAAGTGACTTGCAAAGGCATTTGGTGCAAACAAAAAAAGTAGAATTATATCCTTTGTGGCTATTGAAGAATATACTTAAAATTAATGTAATTGTGCCTGGATTTCAGCTTTATAGGATAATCTCCAGATTTCCTCAAAAAGTTCAAAAATGTTTCATAACCACAGGAAAGGAAAGGATATCGACTTGCTACTGGTTTGTAGACATAATGCAAAAGGCTTGCCTTGAAGTTCCCTATAGGCAGTGGTAATCCTTTCACTTTGGCCTACTCACTAAAATGTGCTAGAGCCATTTCATACACATATTACCTTCTTTTTGACACTAAAGTTTAAAACCTTTTCGCAATGGTCTAAAATGTTAACGTTTTGGGGGAAAAAAAACAAACACACACAAACAGTGAGACTGCATACCACTTTTTTAGCTGGCGATTCCAAAGCATCAGATTGCAATGCATCAGACTTCCTCTTGAGTGAAGAGCTAAACGTACTTGAAGCCAATTGGTTTCCAACCGAATCATCAGATGGATGACCTGAGGGCAGCTGCCAAAAGAAAACAAGCTTAAATTTTGATGCACTAGGGTCATTTTAATTGCCCCTATTGATATTTTATATGAAAAGTTAGATACTGGGAAAGCAGAAATTATAGCAAAATTTAAATCATTTTTACAATGGTTCAATATATACACACATTACACATTATAACTTTTCACTAAAAATCATGGTGACATTAAAGTAGAATTCTAGTCAATACTAACTATACTTAAACCTACTCCCATCCCCATTCTAAGCCTACTCCAACAACTCTGTAAAGGAAAGAGCTGTATACTTGCCTATTCTGAGGGCACTCCAGTCCAGTCACATTATCGGCTTCTAGCACCAGCTTCAGTGTAGAGGAGGAACAGCCAACAACAGATGCCCCATAGAAGGCTTGATGTCATTGCCCAAGCTCTGCAGCCATTGTTGGCAATTTTTTTTCCTCTTCACTGAAGCCGACCAATGGAGAGATTATGTGGCTGGACCCAAGTGCCTGCAGAATAAGCAAGCATGGACATCTTTCTTTTACAGGGTAGTTCGAGTAGGCATAGAATGGGAGTGGAAGCAGGTGTAAGTAGTTAGCATTTGACTGGAATTCTACTTTAAAGTAAGTCAAAGTAGCACACTGTATATAAAATGTCAGTGTAGTGTATGGATTTACATGCATTTCCTCAAAATTCACCTTGTACAGTAATTTGTTTCTCATGCAACAAAGCCTGTGAGCACGCATTTCTAGTGAACATCCTCCTCCAATTTTGGAATACATTACCCAAAAGCCCTTGCAGGAATGGGTGTGTTACAACTCACTCCCATTTACCAGAGGGAAAAAAAAAAAAAAAGAAAGCTGGATGTGCTCAGCAGGTGTAAGGCATTGTCAGCACTTGGTCACAGTGCCAATGCCTGCTCATCAAAGGAAGGGCTTGTGTCCCTGTGCAATACTGCAGTCCTTAGAAGTGACACTGGGGAAGAGGGTGACAACACTGGTGCTTGACCAGTGGCAATGCAGTGTTGTCAGCCCTTTGCAGAAAGTTAGGTCAAAGCTGTAATACTGTCAGGATCAATAGGTAAGAACTGTTGGAAAGTAAAGGAACTGAATTGGACACAAACTGTAGATGTTTTAGGAATGTACATTAAGTAGAAAAGATTTTTGCCTGGAGATGCACTTTAAGAAGCTTCTCCTGCATATGTCCATGAGTATCAGAGCATTCCAGGCTATTATGAAGCCCATGGCTCCTGTATTTTCCAAGAGATTATATGGTCAGGAACCAGCCTGCAATCAGTCACTCAGAGGTAAATTGGTGGAGAATGAAAGACAAAAAGACACACACACACACACACACACACACACACACACACTTCAGGGATGGGTCGTCTATGCAGTTTTTAGACAAGTATTGCACAGAACACAAAGAATGTTTGCGAGGTTTTCTAAATTCTGCTTCCAGCACACCAGGTAATTAAGAGCATTAAAAGAATGACAGCTCCAGTCCTATACCAATATAATGCACATTTCTGTATTCATAGCATTAGATAAATGTCCTTCAGACAAGTGTAAACAGCTCTTAGCTCAAAGATCAGCAAAACCACATTTAAAAAGGTCAAATGTAACAAGAATTGAAATAGGCTGAAATTCGTCAACAATGCTGTATGTTTTTTACAGCCCTGCGAATAAATAAAGATGACCTTTCAGAGGAAATTGAGATAGCAGAAAAAGGAGGATTGGTAAAGATGATCATCAAAAGTTAGTTGCCTGGCTCTCATGCCAATGCTGTGGCTTTAATGCTTCCTGAGTTATAGACCTGCAACAAGTGTCTCTGTATCAGCTGTTGGAACTACCATTGCATCAAATACCTTTTGTTAAAACAATTGACCATAGGAAAAAAAAAAAAAAGCCCATGAGTGCAATGAAGATTTATTTAAAAAGGTTAATTCTGACCTTGAAAAAAGGTCAATTCTGACATTCCTGTCATATGTGTGGAAAAAAACAAACAGAAAACAAATACATTTTGGCTAGAAAACTACTCAGAACTGCTAAACAATATATAGTTTCTTTCAAACAGGGGCCCTAGAGAGTAAAATGGTGGGTGTTGCAATAATTTTTTACGTCACATGGTATTTGCGCAGCGGTTTTTCAAACATAAAATTGTTGGAATACATTTAATAGAGGAACTTCACCCAGAACAACCTAATAAAAAAAGTTTGTTAGCATTAACAATTATGCTGTCAAAATTAGTATATGCTGTAAATTGCCTCCAGCATTGTTCCTATTTCTTCTTGTTGGAGGCTGCTATTTTCATGAACAGCCCAGAGCCCCTGAGCAGCAGTAAATCTTTAGGCTGTCAGCAGATCAGCCTCTAATTTTCAGCACAGTGCTAAAAAATAAAGAGCAACTGAGCATGTGCAAGGCAGAGTGAGGCAGTATTACTGGATTGTAACCCGTATAAGCACCTTTTTATTGATTTACATATATACCTATATTTCCCTTTATCTGCAAAAGGAGCCAGCCTGAAGTTATCCGATGCCGGCTCTGCGCAGAGAACTGAGCAATAAAACACTGCAATCACTCAGTTCTCACCCTCCGCTCTTAGCAGAACAAAAGGCCCTGACTCTCAGTCTCCAGCTCTCTGCTCTGCCCCTCCAGTGTTCATACGGTTGCAGCTTTTCAGAGCCTGGACCGGCCCCGTGACGTCACCCGACAGTGGGCTTGGGTCCATTCTGACGAAGGCTCCACTTTAATTAATTTGAACACAAACATTTAAAAAAAAAAAAATTGGGTATTATAAAATACAAACAGAGCTCTCTTTTGGTGGTATTTAATCACCATTGGGAATTTTATTTTTTGCACTATAAATGGAAAAACAAAACAAAAACACATTTTGGTTTCTTTATTTCGATTATAAAAACAGGTAATTTTTTACCTTCACCGATGTGCATTGATGAGGTTGCACTGATATGTAGCACTGATGGGCAGCACTGTTGGGGCTGCAATGATAATCAGTGCCCTGATTATCTGTGAAGATGTTTGCTTTGACAGTTGCAGATTGCCCGCAGTACCAGCAAGTGTATTTACATAGTGGTCAGCTGTGACACAGCGATCACAAACCACACCGGGTGTGCATGGCTGGGGGACACGTTCTGGGAGGACATCATATGATGCCCTCCCAAAACTGGACTACAGCACTGTAGCCATCACTCAGCTATAGCGAGGTAGTGAAGTGGCATCACTTGTGATATCATGGGTTGTGACAAGTCCTCTTTATGGATAGATCTGGGGTCTATGAGACCCCAGACCTCTCCTCTGGCCTTCAAAGTATTTGGTTAAATAAAAGCAAAATGGAAGGTACTGCCATTTATTTCTTGTTAGATAAACACCTTTATGAACTGGGTGATTATGCATTTCAAAATATTATATACGTTTGGACCTCTATAGCAAACTGGTCACCAATGTACAGTAAGGCTGCCTTCATGCTAATCAGTTTTTGTTCAGTTCAATTAAAAAAAAGCAGGTTAATGCATGGCCTCTGTAGTCTGACACTGAACTGAAGAAACTACATATACCACAAACCCTGGGTCTAGCAATGACGCAGGTGAGCGCTAAATAGTAATTAGATCTGACACAGACAAACAGAGCATTTTCAATATGCTACAAAAAGATGTGTTTTCATCACATTAGCACTCCCACATCTGTGACGGGATGCAGAGTAGATGACAACGCATGTGTTGAACACTCTGTGACCAAAAACAGGAAGTTGTTTTGTCCCTTTGGCAAATATGGACAAGCTACAGTGAAGGAAATAAGTATTTGATCTCCTGCTGATTTTGAATGTTTGCCCACTCACAAAGAAATGATCAGTCTAAAAATCGAATGGTAGGTGTTATGTAACAGACAGAATAGCAAAAAAAAAAAAAAATTCAAAATAAATGCATGACTAAAATTATGCACTGATTTGCATGTTCATGAGGGAAATAAGGATTTGATCCCCTTCACAAAACATGACTTAGTACTTGGTGGCAAATCCTTGGTTGGCAATCACACAGAGGTCAGACGTTTCCTGTAGTTGGCCACCAGGTTTGCACACATCTCAGGAGGGATTTTGGCCCACACCTCTTGGCAGATCCTCTCCAAGTCATTACGATTTGGTGGCTGACGTTTGGCAATTCCAAATTTCAGCTCCCTTCACAGATTTTCTATTGGATTAAGGTCTGGAGACTGGCTAGGCCACTCCAGGACCTTAATGTGCTTCTTCTTGAGCCACTTCTTTGTTACCTTGGCTGTGTGTTTTGGGTCATTGTCATGCTGGAACACCCATCCACGACCCATTTTCAATGCTCTGGCTGAGGGAAGAAGGTTCTCTCACCCAAGATTTGTCAGTACATTGCCCCATCCATCGTCCCTTTGATGCGGTGCAGTTGTCCTGTCTCCTTGGCAGAAAAACACCCCCCCAAAGCAGAATGTTTCCACCACCATGTTTGACAGTTGAGATGGTGTTCTTGGGGTCATAGGCAGCATTCCTCCTCCAAACATGGTGAGTTGAGGCCAAAGAGCTCAATTTTGGACTCATCTGACCACAAAAAACTTTCAACCAGTCCTCCTCTGCATCATTCAGATGTTCAGTGGCAAACTTGAGACGAGCCTGGACATGTGCTTTCTTGAGCAGAGGGACCTTGCGGGCACTGCAGGATTTCAATCCTTGTCGGCGTAGTGTGTTACCAATTGTTTTCTTGGTGACTGTGGTCCCAGCTGCCTGGAGATCATTGACAAGATCCTCACGTGTACTTCTGGGATGATTCCTCACTGTTCTCATGATCACTGACACTCCACAAGGTGAGATCTTGCATGGTGCACCAGACCTAGAGAGACTGACAGTTTTGGGTTTCTTTCATTTGCAAAATGATTGCACCAACTTGTCACCATCTCACCAAGCTGCTTGGCAATATTTTGATTTAGCCCAGTCTAGCCTTGTGCAGGTCTACAATCTTGTCCCTGACATCCTTTGACAGCTCTC